CGATTATAATTGAAATATATACATTTTTAATGTAATCACCAATTTTATGGGTTTCCCCCTGTTTTTTTTCTAATTAAAGTTTTTTTATAACTAATACTGTCATGCAATGAAATGCATGCATGCAAGAAAGACACTGGAATTGTAATTAAACAATAAAAGTGGTTAAAATTTTACAATGCGCATAGCTTTACGCTGTTGAGCGCATGTTTGTTCGTGAATATTCATCAAATTAAATGGTTAGTATACTTAATCAAGGGTGTTATACAAAAACAACAAAATTCCGATTAATCAAAAATATTTTTTTACAATCGATAATCATTTTTAATCCTTCTTTCGATCGATTTTTTCACTTTGTTTCGATCATCGGAACACCACTACCCTTTAGCATTGGAATTGAAACAAATATTACTTTATTTTGGTCTTCATGATATGTTAAGATAACGGTGATGGAAGGAATCATACACAAACACAACAGGTCCATGAACCTTGTACTGGTTCATGCTGAGAGTATGTTAACATAGTTCAACTGCAAACCTGAAAAACATGTTTTGAAAAGGACTGGGTCTTCCCAAATCTCGGGGATATATTTTGAGAAAAATGTACACACAGACCAAATATTCTTACTGTGCCTTACCGGCATGTCTATCAGTGCACAAGATATGAACTTGATGAAAGGCAACAAGCACATATCTATAGATGTATGTGTGTGTAGACCTTCATCTGGGTCACTGATTCCATATCACAGCCAGCTCTGCCATTTCTACTGGTAGTACTGGCCAGGGCCAAAGTCAGCAGTCAGCATTATCACTAACCCAGTGATATGTTCTGGTGGGCTGGGTAACCAATATATGTGGTCACCCATTCCACACAACAGTGCATGAAGCTTCCTGAACATTTGTACCAGACCATAGGGCTGATAACTTTTAAGACCTACAAGCCCTAATGAAAACCATCGAGTCCTATCAATGTTGTCTAAAAGTCAGTGTATGAAATAAGCCAAAATTCCAGCCAGACATCAGACCAGATGGATTTAACCAGACCAAATATGGTGAATTTACTCAGATGTATGGAACATCTAAAAAAATTTACCAGACCATCGGACTGACTAGCTGTAAATTTAGACCGTCTGTCAGAAATCTAGACCGTCTCGGCCAGCCGGACAGGCCTAATTTCATACCCTGTAAAAGTGTTCTTTAATTAAATACAATACAAGAAATGGTAGGTGTGATGAGCTTCATCTAATGCACAACTTCCACAATCTGATAACTTCTTAAATATAGCACCTAAATCACGTTCACAAATATATTCTTTAATTAAATGCAATAGAAGAAAAGGTATGTGTGAAGAGATGTATTTAAATGAACAACTTCCACAAGATGATAACTTTTGATATAATGGACCCACATCATGTTCACAAATAAACTCATCCTAGTGTCACTGAGGGTAAAGTATAGAGATATTAATGTTCAAATATTTATCTGTCCATCAGTCAGGAAACTGAGGAAGCAATAAGTCTATGTTAAACATGTTAAAGTATATGAATAAATATGAATAATGGTTGTCTTAACACTAAGATCACTAAAATTGCCTCCATTCCACAAAGCTATCTCACTATTCTCAGTGCTAAGGTGATCTAACTCTCATACTTTACCACAGGTTTACAATCGTCATAGCCCTGATTGCTTTGTGCAACAGGAACCTTGTGAAAGATTCAAGTATGTTGTTGAAGAAAACCCCCATCACAAGTTACCATGTTATTGCTAAGAGATTTCAAAAATGTTTCTAGTAAATCTTCTCAGGTAAAAATACAAAATCAATATCTCTCTAGTCATTGTTTACCTGGAGAATTGGCTGAAGAGTCCTCTGATGAGTAAATATGTCGAGTAAGCCTTATAGAAGTGTGGCACAGATGCTGGCTTATCACTAATAATCACACAGGATTCGTTAGAATGATGACACGATTCCATCTGGCACAGTACAGCCATGAGTTGAAGCACAGCTTCTATTGAAACCAATAATCACAGCAGGGGATTCAAGTGTACAGTGTCATTGTGCACTGAGGCGGAACTGGAACCAGACTATTGACTGACGGCATTGAAAGAAATGTTGCTGAAAATAGACTGAATACATGTCCTCATATACTTGAATTGGCATGCCTATGTTTGTTATGACACAAAATGCTAACTAGACAGCACTGTAACCCAACTAGAAATCCAGCCTGTATCTTCTATGATTTATATTTATGATTGATATATTTACAGTGAGCAGTGGTGAGAGACAACATCTCATGGTCAGGTGTCCATTTACAGTTTCAGTCAAGATGTTATTATTTGTGCCTTGAACATGTTGAATGGAACTTATTGTTTTACAGTGTCATCATCATAAGCATTAACACTTGATCTACAACAAAACTTAGCAGACAAAAAGGCATTGGAAATTATGGAATCAAACTGGCCAAAACTGAGTTGGGTTGCATTTAGAAGTTGGTGTGATGAACAACGAGGAGAGTTCTATGGATATACAACTTTTTATATAATATGAGCGACGGTTCATTTCACATCATTTGCTTGATAACCATGATAACGGTGTTAGTAGCTACACCGAAACGTCGCTCATATTATATTAAAGAAGTTGTATATCCATAGAACTCTCCTCGTTGGTTACGGACTTGTTTCACTTAATCCAAATTATCACCAGAAAGTACAGGCGAAACATTTAAACCTGAACAAAATCAGTTGAACAATATTCAATCCCGACATGCATAAAGGTTCCCTTGCCAGACCTGTGACCTGATTCAGATCACTTTTTCCTACAGTAGAACAAAGTAATTTATTTGTGCCCTTTTCCATGTTCATAGAATTTGTATAATGTATGATTTGGCATGTTAAACCAGTTTTAGCCATCACAAATTTATTTGGTCACAATCTTTTGTGCCACTTGTGGTGATTTCCAATAACATTTACATGAGATGGACTATGCCAGGGAGAACACTGTGCTCAATCTGTCAAGTGAAGCAAAGTTACCACAGCACAGGACTCACTCAATTCTAACATGCTGAAGTTCACTGAAAAGAGTTGACCCTCTCTGCATGTTTTGTCACACTAGAATCTGTTCAGTCTAAGATTTGTCAGATCATGATTCTTGGCTTATGAGCGCCATACACATGTCTGTGGGTTAGTGTGTCAACAGCTATATAATGTAGTATATTTCCAAAGGTTAATCAGTCATAGTAGATACTAATAAATACTAAATACTGAGTTAGTTCCTACTACCATGACCACAGATCACATGTGATACAAAACAAATAGAATTCCCTAATTGAGGTTCAATATTTGCTGACAAAATATAAAGTCATTATCAAACTGCATGATCATTGCCTGAAACAATGTTACTCTTGGTTTCAATTTGTGTGTGTACAGGTGCTAATTAGCCATTAGCTCCTTGTTAACATTGCGTCGTCGCCTGAAAACCAGAGTGTTCTAAGTTGTCAATTGACCAATGGGCAAGCACAATTTGATCACGCGACATTGAGATTTACCAATTTTGAAGTGATTGTCACCATGGAAATGAAATATTTAACTCTGTTCTTATTTCTGCTTTATCTAATTAAATATAGTTCTTATGAAAGAAAAACAGGTTTAAACGACAAAAATACAACCTGGTAAAAAGGAAATAACAATCAAATATCGATATAATAATAATAAAGCTGAGTTTTAGCTGTGTGTTTTGACACTTAGAACACTTTGGTTTTGAGAAAAATCACGATTTTCTTTGGTCAAGTGTTCTATCTCCAATCATTTTTCATGAATTTCTTATTTATTTCAATAGATTGAGCATATAATTTGATATTTTCTGATCCTGTTTAACATGTCACATGCATGTGCAAAATTTGGAAGAATTCGATTGAAAAGTGAAGAAGATATTGTTGTCCTAAACTTCAAGATCGAATTTCTCGAAAAATAGGTTTTTGTGACTTAGTACACTCTGGTTTTCAGGCAACGATTGGTTAACAATGTTTAAGCTGTGCTTACATGAACATCTAAAAAGCTCTCTGCATCCACACATTCATTGACCTGATAAAGCTGTAAGTGTATCAACAAAAACATTATGTTCCTCATGTTAAATAAGTTGACATCCATAAATTTCTCTGTGTTATGTGTATAACTTCTACATGCCATTGAGGGATTTGATGAGGACTCAGACACAGATGAAATTAAAATGATCTGTGTAGTAACAGTATATATGGAGACATTTCTCTTCAAGGTCAAACCTATGGCATGAAATTCACAAGGGTACTTAAGAAGATACTGGAAAGATACGATATTAAACTAAATATGTTTAGTATGTCATTGTTACTGACAGAGAAGCCATACCCAGTTCGCATGCCAGATGTCTTTGAATAGAATCTGAGCAACAGTTTTAAAGGGACACGGCCACATAAATATGCATCAGCTGGAGGTAAATGTGCACAACATATTACTACAATATTATACACAGAAGCGGCGGAACATTAAGGTTACATTGTATAATATGTGTAAACTGGCAAGATGACAGTTCTGAGTTGAACAGGTGCCCCTTGAAGTTGAATCCCTGCCCATTTATGGAAAATAATGCGAAACGGTAAACACATCTAAAATTGAGTATGCATCTATTGAGACAGATATTTGAGTTGAATATCTGTCATCTTAGTAAAATGTTTTTAATTAGAAAAAGGTACTAACCGGTCTAAATACCAAATCTTTTCCTGTCTGCTTCCTTTTATCAATTCTCGCCAAATCTCGTAAGCGGAAGTGCCCTACGCGTGATTTGGCGATTTACGTTACTTACTAACTTTATCATAAGAAATGGCTACCCTTTAAGTATTTCCTGTTTTCATTATATTGGAGGAATGTATCATGCTGAAAGTTGATTTTGGGATTTGTTGAAAATTGCAATGTTGTTAAGTTTTCCGGTGAGACTCGGCCATGTCCGACTCGTTGCCATGCGATATCTATCAACCAACATGGCGGACTAGGTTGCGTGAAAACATTGGGCAGAGTAATGAATATTTTATCATAGTGTGTAGCGTACAGATTCCCAAGGCATCAGTTTAGATAAACACTATCAAGAAAAGGTGAGGTAAGATAATTGCTCATGATTGCCAATTTACAGTTTTGAACATAATTGCCGAAATAATATTGCAAATGTAAACATTTTGGCTAATATTCTAGAAAAGTTTTCTAAATGTTCACAGTTCTGTATTGTCTCTCTAAAAATGACGAAATGAAATAGGCATATATATTTGTAGATGTTTTCCACACCTATCTAGCTGTGAGGATTTTTAAGAAATAAAAGGTCCTGAAATTACCGTCGCTTGTGTAACTCTGCGACGTAGTATTGAAATTACTGCTGGCAGAGGTCCTTGTTTTTTAACCTTTAGGTCCAGAGGTTATGTGACTGTATGAGCCAGTTGAGGAAGAAAAAACCCCTACAAGTTCTAGTTTGACCTTTACTTGCATTAAATGTCATTGAAGGTTGCATTCATGTAATGAAGTAATAATGAATAATAATATTCATTACCTTTAACTATGATTATAATACAGTCAAAACTTGTTGTAGTTTGCATGGTAATCAAAGGCAGATTCAAAATGAATATTCATAACATTAATGTTACACCCATAGTCACTGCAAAGTAATTTTGATAACTTTTCAAACTGACTGGCAGTCAGAGTTTACATCTCAGTGAAACAATTTTATAACTAAGATGACACAAATTGACACAATTTCAGACATTTTGGCTGTATCAACATAATCCATTATTCCATGTTGAATCAGGCTACCAGTAAAGCCTTTAGGTAATGAACACATAGTTCATTATCTTGTTGTATTTTGTACCATTCATGTTCTAAGCATCTTCCGGCTCAATGGAGTTAACAGATTATATAAGTCCAATTTCCACCCTTGCCTAACTAGTAATTTCTGAATTATATTTTGGACGTTCTGTGACTATGAAGTTGATGCATAGTACATTGAAAAATTGAAATTGACACCCAATTCATAATCCACAGTGACACCTTCGCAGTTTTCTGTTAATCTGAGTGTTAGCAAGGCATGTGTTATGTCAGATGAGCTTTGACAATTTTTCAAATCTTTTCATTGATTTAATCACCATGCTCAAGTGATTTGATTTGATTTGATGCAATTCACTAGGTAAGACCTGTTTTGTTTAATTATTGGTCTTGAATATCGATCAGATTATCTGACTGCAAGCTGTCATTTTGCATGAGACAAATGCAATTGGTGTGAGAAGTGGAATTGGGAACTGGCAGAATATAAGGGACATGACTCATAGTACTTGCCACTGGTATTGCTATGATTGAGCCATAAAAGGTTGGCTTGGTTCGTCAGGAGTGGAAATTGGACATACATAGTCAGTTAACTTCCTTGCCTTTGGGAAGATGGATCTCGTAGATCATGTATTTACCAAATGAATTTGCTTATGTATACTTATAAGAGTTTGTCCCCTTCAAGATGTTTCACATTCTCACAAAAGGTCAAATATTCTGCCTCATTCCTACGTCAAACATGATTATGCAAACCTTGAGTTTGAGCTTATAATTTCTCGAAGAAATGTTATACCTGTGAATAAGAATAATCATAACAAGAGGAGCATTTGCATTTTCATGGCATGTATTCTTCAGATTTGGTCATGGCGTCTGGCCAGAACGGATCCACTGGAAGCATGGGATTCCCCCCAGGCATGGAGGGGATCAACCCAGAGAGGTTGAAGGCCAGACTCTACTCCTATGCTCCACAACAAGCTCCGGTCAACCCCAGGGCCCTCCACTTCAAGGGGGTGACTCAGGCCCAGGCTAACAGAGTTAAGACTCCCCTTGGACCAAGAGTTGAACCATTGGTTAGTGCCATTGTCAGAGAATTGAATGAAAGGCTTTCATGCTGTATATGTATGTTGAAAGTAACCACTCACATTGTTGTCAAAATTTGGATAAAAAAATCAAATAATATATGTATCAGAGCCTACAGTAATAGATTACAAAAGTAGATTTTCTGTTTTGGTAACATTTTATCCATGCTGGATATAGTTACCACAGTCACCCAGTTTCAAACAGTGTGTTAATACAACAGAAATAGATGTATTTACCTGTTTTATAATAGAGGATACTAAACGACCTTCCGTGTAATACCATTTTTATTCAACAAGTTTATGATTTGGTATCAAACGAGCTAAAGTGAGTTTAATGAAAATGGTATTTCAAGGATGCGAGTTTAGTATTCTTATTATTATTACTCTCCAACATTAATTGATAGAGACTGCCTACAATGTGATGACTCTCAGCTTTCCACGAGTCAAGCGAGGTCTAATACCATTGTGACAGAGGTATTAGCATTGTGACGTCATAACTATAACCATTATGACATCATATGTCTAGGGGTATTACACTAGTGTAATATTGCCGTAAAGATATTACACTCCAGTATCTTCCACAGGCGCGTGATAAAGATGATTCTATAGCAACAAGCCTGAACCCTAGTCACTGAACCAGTTCCTATATGGCAAAGGCTGTTGTCAATTTTCTTATCTCAACTCATGTGAATCATATCTGTTCTTTTATAAGGGACCGTTCATAATTTATGGCATGGGGTGATGATGATAATGTTTACGGAGAAGCGTGTATAATGTGAATGACCCCCCTAAAACTTATGAACAAAGTAAGTGACCCCCATATATGTCATGTAGAAAATCAATGACTCCCCTTCCCCATAACTTTAAAGCATACTTTTTTAATATGTTTATGTACAAAATTGATGACAAATGTTGATGTTTATATATTTTGAGCTCATGAGATTCTGTGCTGAGTTAGTTTTAACTCTTTCCATATGACGTAAATTTTTCACAGACGCACATTTATCCTCATTCTCTTCCCACAGAGGTTACTCCTGTCATATCTTCCTACGTAACCTCTGTTCTAATACGGCCCTTTCATGGTGTGAGCGTTCAAGACTCGTGATTGGAGGCAATCAGATTTAATTGTGCAATCAGCGACGTTGTTTCAAAAGTGATCATTCGCAAGGCCTCGGTTATTTCCGTATGCTTCGAGAAAACTAAACTTCTTCCCCTGCGCGATGCGCAAACGTCTTGTGTGTAACATTAACACAAGTCCACGGCAGATGGGGGATATTTGTGGCCCCACATTTGCTTGTGTTAGTCAAGTTGAATCTAAGTCGATGTAACACGTGTTCTGATTGGATAGAAAGAAGGGAGATAATTCGTGTTGCGATCTTTTGCCGCTAGGGGATTTTACGAGAACCGGGAAATATGGCCATATTAGAACAGAGGTTCGTAGGTAGATATGACAAGTAACCTCTGTGGGAAGAGAATGATATATCCTAAGAACGTGGTATCACGTCCAGGCATCTACAACCCTTGCATAGACCAGATTTTTCCATCCGTAGCCTCTGAATTACAATGTTTCCATACGATGGACGAGATATTACGTCCGATTTTTTACAATGTTTCCATACGAGGGACGTGATAACTTGTCTACTCATACTTAACATAGTTTTCTAGCCGTGTATGCTCGTCCTTCGAATGCAGTTCGTGTACATTGTGACAGTGCATTATTTAGGATTTACTTGATTATCTCCCCTGGTCAAAACCACGTGCTATATGATCTTGACATTCAGTGACCACACAGCGTTAACTGGCTGGTCGTGGAAAATCGTATAGGACTGCAAGCCAAGTTCTGTCCGCCATTATTGATGATGCGAAGTAACTGTTACAACGTTTGACGTTTGATTGTTACCAATGTTCTTTGACTGTTGACTGCTCTTATAACTGTTACCACAGGTAACACTCGTTTCATTCGTTCTTTGGATGTCATGACCTATAATCCTAAGTGATGACATAAATCTACTAAATTGTGGTTGTTATTCCACCGTACTGTAGTCACAGGATTGAAATCATTGCCATAATTACCACACTGCTGTGTGAGTTCAATTATGTTTCTCCTTTTAGAAAAAAAAATGCATTTCCAATGTTTCTGGGTTAAAGACGACCTAATATTTTCTCTTTTAGTCTGGAATATTTTAATAAAAGTGAATAAAGATGTTTTGAAAAAAATCAGTTTATATGGACTTTGACGTTATGTTCCTCATGAATGGTCCATGTCAACCGTTGCAGCCATGGAGACGTGATATCACGTCCCTCGTATGTAAGTGTCATGTTGCTAAACATAGTCTCGTATTGAAGGGTTGTGACCCCTCAGACGTGATATCTCGTCCCTTGAATGGAAAGATTTAAGAGAATTGAGATGGACGTGTCCCTATGGTAACAGATCTGTGATGTGATGATATCATAACAGAATGGAGACATAATTCCCTGGATAAGGGACTGTTCATAATGTATGGCTGGGGGCATTGGATGTGGGTGTGGGTGTGTGGGGTGTGATGATGATTTTTATGGAGAAGCGTGTACAATGTGAATGACCCCCTAAAATTTATGTACAAAGTGAGTGACCCTTCACTGTATGTCATGTTCAAAATTGCTGACACCCGCCTAGTACATGTGTACAAAATTGATTTTCCCCCCCCTCCCCATCTCCCCAGAACGAAGTGGTTGATTCCCCTTTAAAATCTTCATCACCCTCCTAGCCAAAAATTATGAACGTTCCCTAATCAAGAATGGATGTTTGGGTTGTTCCCTGTATTCTTTCAAACTGAGCATATTTATCTCCACACTGTTGCAAGGTTATTCCGTGAATTAATAGGGACACATGGCTTTCAGACATGTCTTCAAAAGCATCAGATGCGGAACCAGCCCCACTATATCCACAAAGTCAACAAGGAACGCATCCTGACAGAACGCCGAAACAAGAAAGATGAACCGGCAACCAAGAAACTACGACGGGCAGGGTCAGTGGAACCAATGGAGGTCACGAGTGGGACACAGTCACCCTTGCCAGACCTTCCAGAAGATCTCAAGCTCAAACAGGTCAGTATTCAATTATATTCTTTTAAACTAGCTTTTTGTGAAATGTAGTGTACTTGATAATATGATTTGCACCAGATTTAAATTGAATTTGGCATTCTGGTCTTGAAGAGGGTGAAATGTTATTTGCTTCGGGGAAAAAATATTATTACAATTGGGTAAGTGTTTTCAAAATTGAAAATGGCCATGAATTACTGTGGGAGGCCAATCATTTAGGGGATAACTGTACTGTGTTTGACGAACTGGGGATGTATACTGGTGGTTATATAGCTTCAAATTTAGTTATATCGGCGATGCAATACGACTAAATTTGCAACTATATAACCACCAGTATACATCCCCAGTCCGTCAAACACAGTACAGTTATCCCCATTCTAATTCAACTCACTTTACACTGTTTTTTCATGAAAGAAATTCATTATATAAACCAGGTCAAAGGTTAATAATATCACTCCTTGAACTTACACCCTCGCCCTCTTTAAACTTCAACAAACTGAATAACGAGTCAAATAATCACAATAAACACGTTTATTATGTGCCCAATGATGAATATATCATAATGTTATAGCAAAATGGATGGAATTATCATATCATGAAACCGCCCACAAGTTATCAGAAATGAGCGGGCCGTTGCAAATGGGTGACGTCACACAGCGAGTGATGTCACACTCCATAATGACGTCATAAATCTTGTTCCATGACCTAACAGTATTGGGTCAACAGCCCATTGCGAGTTTTTTTAAGTAAACTTACAATTAAATTTATGATACTGTTTTGTCTTTTTTTAAACACAAATTCCACCCATTTTAGCTACAATAGGGGAGTTAATTGATGCTTAATAGGGCTTCTGCAAATGGTAATGCCCTGAAAAACAGCATTACCCCCATAGTTTAGGGATACATTCAAACGTTTTGGTGAATCGTTTTTTAAATTGCGACCTTATATGCTGATTATAAGGTGGGAAATTTATAGCATTGACCAATCAGAACAGGTGTTACATACTAAGTTGAATTAGAATCATAATTTGCTTGCCAAATTATATTGAGATTCGTTTGTGGGGACTTTTGTACTGTGTATTTGATATACAAATGGTGCTATTCTGGCTCTGAAACAGCTTAGATTGTCCAGTTTGTTTGATAGCACATTTGGATCCAATTTTCAGGGCTCGATTTAGTGCTTTGTTACTTGCACTGGTGCAACCCAATATTACAAAGTGCAACCTAGTTAATAGTCTAACTCGAACCAGGTGCAAGTCAAATTTGAGCGGGTAAACTTCTGACTAAAGCATCTAAAAGATAATTCAATAGCATATTTCTTTCATTACATATTGCAATAAAAGCAGTGCAACTGGAATTTGGCTGGTGCAACTAGGTTTTATCTTAGGTTGCACCTGGTGCAAGTAGGTTAATATCTCTTGAATCGAGCCCTGATTTTTAACTTTTAAGCTGCCAAGATCATAAATAACTCATTGCGAACTGGAAATTATAAACATTAATGTGTAGATATTGTGCATTCATTCTTCATGAGAACTTAGACCTGGGTTGTCCTTGTTCAGGCTTTGCAGTGAGGAATTACCTTGTTATAATGTTTAGAAGTTTGCACGTTTATGATGGTATGTGGGCACTGGATTTACTAGAAAAGATAATACTATCTCCCTCATCATGTGTAGACATATGATGAAGATAATGTTTTGTCCAAGCCTGTGACACCCCATGTGTTCTCCCCTAGGATGCTATGGTTCATCTCACAACACCACGGCTACCCTCGCCTCCACAAGAACCCAAGCCAGAGTCCCTTCGGGGAAAGACTCACATACAGGCTGCTTCAGTACCACAATCAACAAAACCAAAGTGTAAGTTCTGGTTTATTTTATGAAAGCTAGTTCTGTCTGAAGTAAAGGTTTTAATTGTGAATCCCACCCAAACCATCATTGAAGTAAAGGTTTCAAATATGAACACCACCCCAACCTCAAATGAAGTAAAGGTTTCAAATACTGAACACCACCCCAACCTCAACTGAAGTAAAGGTTTCAAATATGAACACCTCCCCAACCTCAACTGAAGTAAAGGTTTCAAATACGAACACCACCCCAACCTCAACTGAAGTAAAGGTTTCAAACACCAACACTACTCCAACACCATCCCAACTCCAACTGAAGTAAAGGTTTCAAACACCAACACCACTCCAACCCCAGCTGAAGTAAAGGTTTCAAACATGAACACCACTCCAACCCCAGCTGAAGTAAAGGTTTCAAACACAAACACCACAACCCCAGCTGAAGTAAAGGTTTCAAACACCACACTACCCCCACCCAAACCCAGCTGAAGTAAAGGTTTCAAACACGAACACCACCCCAACCCAGCTGAAGTAAAGGTTTCAAACACGAAACACCACACCACTCCAACTCCCAGCCTGAAGTAAAGGTTTCAAACACAAACACCACTCCAACCCCAGCTGAAGTAAAGGTTTCAAACACCACCAACACCACTCCAACCCCAGCTGAAGTAAAGGTTTCAAACACCAACACCACTCCAACCCCAGCTGAAGTAAAGGTTTCAAACACCAACACCACTCCAACCCCAGCTGAAGTAAAGGTTTCAAACACCAACACCACTCCAACCCCAGCTGAAGTAAAGGTTTCAAACACCAACACCACTCCAACCCCAGCTGAAGTAAAGGTTTCAAACACCAACACCACTCCAACCCCAGCTGAAGTAAAGGTTTCAAACACCAACACCACTCCAACCCCAGCTGAAGTAAAGGTTTCAAACACCAACACCACTCCAACCCCCATTGTAGTAAATACTTCAGATATGAACACCATGCCATCACTCTCTGAAATTGAGAAATTAAACTTTGACACACTCCCTCTTTCAACAAGTTGTTGATCTGCCTCTGTTTATATTGACCTTGACCTTCCAGTTGGTGAGACATATGAAGGGGTGAAGGATGCCCACCAGATCATCAGAGTGATCCGTGAGAACCCGCGTGTTGGTTTCCTGTACCTGAGTCCTGCTGTACCAAATCTTCAGTGGATTACCATTACTACAACCTCAGGTGAGATCATGTCACACTGTCCAAGATGTGATCTTCAGTATCATGTTTGTCAGTTGGGCAGTAACTGTTTGATGTTCAGGGGTAGTGTTTGTTTGTTGTTTAACGCAGCACTCAGTAATATCCCTTCTTAATGGTGGCTGTCTGTAAATAATTAAGTCTGGACCAGACAATCCAGTGAGAAACACCACTGGGATACGATGAGATGTGTCTAGCAAGTCGGCGAGCCTGACCTCCCGATCCCGTTAGTCGCCTCTTATGACAAGCATGGGTTACTGAAAATCAATTCTAACTCAGATCTTGATGGGTCTCAGGGGTAGGATGTGTCAGGGATTTTTTAAAAAGAAACCGTAACCAATTCCCTGTTTTACTGAAAGAAAGTACATATGCCTTGCATTCTGGGAAAAGAAATAATATGCCCTTTTTTGCAGATTTTCAGAATTCTTTGCTTTGAGACCCTAAACTTAAAAATAATCCAAATACTGATCTCAAACAAAAACTATGATTTCGGCATTTGTAATGTCTTGAACATTGCTGACAATCAGATGAAGCATGTCATTTTTCATTAACTAAACTGGCATTGACAAATATGTTACTGTTTTAAAGCATCAGAAGTTTAAAGTGAAAAGTAAAGCTTTCAAAGAGTTACAAGAGCCGGAATTTAGTGTCAATACAGTAAACTTGTATCTGTTACGTATATGATCAGAATCAAGCATGAGTTGGTCATCGATATTTGGTTATTTGAGATTTTGAAACTTGTTAAAGATTATTTTTACTTGACAGGGTAGTAAAACATGAACATGTTCACAAGCATGACCACTGCACCATCAGTCGGAAGGGAGTGACGAGGATGCGCAGTGATGATGAGACAGAGTTTATCACACTGGACCGATGGGAGCAGGAGGTCAACTACTTCAACAAGCTCATCAAGGTAGGTTCAGTGTTACTATGTACATAATAATATATATAATAATAATAGTGGATTTGTATTGCACTTTTTCCATACTTGGATATTCTGCTCAAACTTCAAAGCGCAGTGAGGATTGATCAGAAGAAAGCTTGGCGGAAAAGATGGGTTTTGATAGATGTTTTAAAAGCAGAACAGGTTTGACATTGGTGGACATCAAGGGGATGATTGTTCCAGGCAGAGTCAAGTAGGATTGAATCCACTTCAGTGCCGATCCCCTAATTCCGAATTCTAAGTCAAGACGTGTCAAAAGGTTGTTATGATCAATTGTGTCAAAAGCTGCACTTAGATCAAGAAGAATTAGAAGAGCAACGTCACCATTGTCCACACCACACCGTATGTCATTCAGAACTTTCAACAAGGCAGTTTCAGTGCTATGGCGAGGTCTATAAGCCGACTGAAGGGGTTCATGGAGATTGTGCTTGCTAAGATGTTCAGACAGACGACAGCTCACAGCCTTCTCAACAAGTTTTGATACAAAAGACAGATTGAAGACTGGTCTATTAGTTCTTCAGATTTTCTATGTCGAGTCCAGATTTCTTCAATAAGGGCTTGACTATAGCTGTCTTGAAGTCTTGCGGCATAGAACCGGAAGTTATTGATAGATTGACGATTTTGGAGATGGGAGGCAGCAGAATATCCAGATTGTCGTACACAAGCTGTGTGGGGATTGGATCAAGTGCGCAGAGAAGGTGTGTTTGGCCTTCTTCAAGAGTGAGAGAACTTCTTCTTCACTGAAGGTCTGGAAATTTGTTAGGGGGTCATTAGCAAAAGAGCTTGTAGGGAAGTAACTGTCCTGGGAACTGTCTAACTTTGATCGGATAGTCTGGATTTTGTTGATGAAATAAGATGAGAAATCTTCTGATATTTCGAGATCACTTCCCCTGGATGGTAGAGACGAGGTATTGGTTTTCCCCATCATAGTGAAGAGGAGTCAATATAGAGCCCTTGAATCTTCCGTATTTTCTTTGACTTTGTTGTTGAGATAGCGATGCTTGCATTGGCGGATTATCAATGTCAGTTGATTCCTAGCTGAAACATACAGCTGCCGATGTATTTCCAATCTGGATTTTCTCCAAAGTCTCTCTGTCTTGTCTTTTACGTTTTGCAGCTACAACTTCTGTTGTGAAATCCCATGTTGATTCATGACGATTAGGAATCTTCTTGATGTTTACCGGGGCCTGCTTGTCAAGTAGCTCTGTCAAGACACGGTTGTACTGAGCAACAAGATCTTCACAGTTACCTGGGGGATTCAATATCAATTCAGAGTTTGTTAAGTCTTGTCTAAATCCCTCTCTATCCATATTGCGGATGTTCCTGCAACTTACAGACTTCAGGGGACGAGGAGGACGTGATGAGTCCAGATTCATGAAAATACAGGAATGATCTGACAGCTGATAGTCCACTATACTGATGTCACGGACACATGCCTCAGTGACCCGTGTCAGCACCCAGTCCAGGATATGTGTGGGGACAGTCACATGCTGCACCCAGTCATGAATCTCAAACAGCTTATTCATTTTCTTCATATCAGCACTTCCGTTGTTATCAGAATGAAAGTTGAAATCGCCGAGAATTAGAAGTCTTCCCTTTCTCTGACATTCATGCTCAAGCAAAGACTGAAACTCATCGAGGAACAAAGAAGTACTCAGTTTGCTCTTTGCTGATGGGGGAGGGCGATACAGACTGATAATCCCAGTGGCTGTTTTGCAGTGTGTGATGAAGTAGTATATACAATGATTGTCCGTGATCTCAAGTGATCTCAAGTGATTCGTAGGAGTGAGCAGCCGGGAGAGCAGGGTACCATGATGTTGAGATAGTCCCTGTGGATGATTGCCAGGCCACCGCTATGTGTATCACGTGATTGTTTGTTACATGTGTAGCCAGGAGGTGTCATTGACTGTACAGGTTCAGAACCACTGTCATACAGCCAGGTTTCAGTTAAGATAAGAATGTCAATTTCTTGATCTGTTATCAATTCTGAAATGTCATCTGTTTTCTTACGAACAGATCGTGCATTCCACAGGCATACTTTTAACTTACATTTACACTTGGGGAGATGTTGACTGCCTTTTGTTTTCGATGGCCACACGGCGTCCTCTCTTAGTGGGTTTTGTAACACATATGCCCAGGTTTCTGATATGGTGGAGTAGCTTTGGATCAATCCTTTGTGTTCTTGATTGACGGGAGTGGATGTCAATCAACTGGTCCCTGGTGTAGGTCACTTTGGCTGCTTCCATACTCACACCACTGAGTTGTTGGCTTGCCACGTTGATTGGAGAACAATAGACGGTTGCTCCCTTGAGCCCAGTAAATGTACAAATCCAGGATATAAATGTCAATAAAATGAACATTTTAGAATACTTTTCTGCTTGAAAGCTTCAAAAACATGATCTAGAAGTATTCATCAAACAAATGTCCAAGTTTCACTGGGATGCAATACCAGGAAATCATAGAAAGTAAGAGATTTGTGAGAGCTCAGTAAATATGCTGCCTGCTGGCGCACAACTCTGAAACAGTGCTGAAACATTACACACATTACACACACCACACACATTTGCAATCATTACACACATTTGCAATCATTACACACACCACACACATTTGCAATCATTACACACATTTGCAATCATTAGACACACCACATACATTTGCAATCATTACACACATTTGCAATCATTACACACACACACATTTGCAATCATTAGACACACCACACACATTTGCAATCATTACACACATCACTTAATTGCAATAATTACACACAATTGCAATCATTACACACACAACACACAATTGCAAACATTACACACAATTGCAATCATATCACACACCACACACATTTGCAATCATTACACACATTTGCAAACTTTACTCATTACACACACAATTGCAATCATCACACACACACACACATTTGCACAAACATTACACATTACACACAATGCAATCAAACACACAATTACAAACATTACACACATTGGCAAACATTATACACATTTGCAATCATTACACACACCACACGCAATTGCAATCATTAGACAGTGGCACCACACACAATTGCAAACATTACACACACCACACACAGTTGCAAACATTACACACATTGCTCACATTTGCAAACATTACACACATTACACACCACACACCAGTGCACATATACACATTATACACAGTGCACACATTATACACAGTGCACACATTATACACAAAGTGCACCTTATCATCTACAGAGAAATGTTTCTTACAACATAAGAATCTCAGCAATGAAATGTACTCTAACATGATTGATTGATACAATATCTATCACAGAATATTTTGATGACATTTTTATGACTTTGGGCCTGTGTCGAATTTAGGCAAGACGTCTTTCTTTCTATTTGTTCATCAATATAATGAAAGTTGAAAAAAGTTTTACATGTTCACCACAAAATATTGTGCCCAGTGTACATTAAACTACAACACATGACCACTTATTCAGGTAACATTTTGACTGAAAAAGCCCAAACTAAACAGGAGTGGAAATAACTTTAAAACTGCTAGTGCACTCCGGTACAGTGGCACATGTAAAATCACATGTCCTGCTAAATTTTCCACTATACCCGCCGATTTTCTTGTTGATATTTCAAATAAACAACATAATTAACATTCAGTCATTGGAAAGTCAACTGGACACCGGTACAGCTTGATATAGAAATTTGCTTGCCCGACAGAAAAGAAACACTGGACTTGGATTCAGTTTCCGCCTCCGAACGCTGGTCAGTCGGAACGGATTGGAGTAATTAAGTTGTTAACAGCTGCGTTAATCTGAACGATTGAAGTTGACCGCGCTGCTGACTGGTCCACCCAAAGTGACACGTTGTTTGTTTAGCGACTTAGCGACTCATCAAAACAACCTTTGCAGCAGCCCACCATTAAAGACTACTTTTGTAAGTAAAATGTGTGAGTGAAACAATGTGTAATAAATCCAGTGATTGTCTTTGATGTTTTGTTTTGATTTCTTCACGTATCGATAGTAAGGAAAGATATCAAGGGGAAGTAACTCGGTGCATTTACTGTGGTTTCAGCAGTACGAACGTTTCACTATCCGAACGGTTTTTTAAAAAAACCAAAATGTTCGTATTAACGAGGTCTGACTGTACATCACTTTTGCATTGCATGAACATTTTTATAACATCATTAGTGTACCTAGTAGTTATGGTAGTACTGGTTTGGTTACCTGGGTTTAACTGGACACATGGCTATGGTTCTGGACAAAAGCAGATGAAGGTCATAAATATTTCAAACCGAGTGGCTGTCAAGGGGAGGTAACTCATAGAAGAGCATGATTATCTCCCCTTGATGTAGAGATTATTGTATACATGTGTACTGGGAAACACCTGTGGTGGGTGGACCGACATTTGTCCACAGTAGAAATGTTTCTAATAATTATTTTTAACCTTTTCTTTATTACACCCAGTGAGTTACATAATTAAAGTACATTCAAAATAAGATACAGTATCAGTCGGAACAGAGAAGACTCAAGCTGATGAATCCGCACTTACATCAATTGAACATTGACATTGGTAGTATAAGCTGATCAAACATATACAAACAGCAATAGAGGTGAACGCTAATATAGCAATGTATTTTTCTACTGTGAAGACGTCTTTTAGGGTAACTTTAAAAAATTAATGCATGGTTTAAACCCTTTGATGTTCATAATAAATATATGTCGTTTGGCCAGAATGGTCATATGAGTTAATAAACTATCAGAACAAGAAGAAAAAAGAATGTCATTGTTTGTTATTTCAATATGTTTTCCGAATATTATATTAACATAGTTGTTAAAATCGTCCGAGAATGATTTGACATATGGACATTTTATATACACATGGTCGATATTTTCGCCTTCTGTCCAAAAGAAAGCCCACAAATCGGAGTCAACTACTTTCAATTTTTAAAAATAGTTCTTTTTTGGTATAAATTATTCTATGCAAGAATTTGTATTGAAATTCTAATAGTTTTGTATCACTTATGGCTTTTCTATATCTTGAAAAAATACATTTCCAGTCAATAGATGTATCAACTTCTCTTTCCCATTTATTACAAACGTTCGGTAAGCTGGTAGCTGAGATGAGTTTATCATAGAGAAGTCTAGATCCTTTACAGGGATTATTAATATCGTTCCAAGGGCATACAGTTTTAATGTGAAAAAAATCTATTTTAACATTTTGCAGTCTTGTTCTCCATACCTTTGGGATGTTAAGTAATAAACGATTGTAATCAAGTATGGTACCCTTTATATTGAATGATGCTTTTAGGTTTATGAATGGAATTAATCCGTTTTCATCACAGAGATCTTTTACATAAACTATACCTTTGTTAAACCAGTTTTTTATAATAATGAAGTTTGAGTCATGACAAAGGTGGTTTAACCACAGCGGTTGCATTAAAATGTCGTTGATATCCTCAGTATTAACAGAATGGATCTTTACATATTTACTCCACGCCTTTACAACATCATTCCAGAAGGGGTTTTTAATTTTCAAGTAAAAAGGGATATTTGCACCGAAATGGAAGATATAGTCTAACCGAAAACCGGAGAGGTCATATTGTTTCTCTTTAGTGATGTATCTTTTTAGACATGAAATTTTTAGTGATTCAATGAATGTTTTAATATCAATCATTCTTAGACCTCCATCTTCATATTTCCGCATAAGATTGATTCGTTTTATTTTGGCCTTTTTGTCGTTCCATATAAACTTGAAAAAGATAGTGTTCAATTCTGCGATAAAATCGGGTGGTGGGTTTGAAAGGGAGGTAAATATATGAACTATGGTTGATAAGGCCAACGTTTTAATTACGGTAATTTTGCCAATCAAAGTCAAATTACGTTTACGCAATATTAACATTGACCGGTTCTTAATGGAATTATTGCCTGTTTTCAGATACCTGCATTTGCTCTCTTCCGGAAATGGAAGGCCTTCAGCGTTTGGAGGAAGAATGTCCGCACAAAGAAAATACAGGGCTGTAAAAAACAGCTGAATGAAAACCTCTTCATCGTCAACCCAGTAAGCATCATGTTTGTACTGACTATGTGATTGGTGCTGGCGCGGAAACCATTTTCTGAACATTCAGTGTGTAAAGGGAGTCAAGGTCATGTTACGATTTGGCTTTTCTATATTTTTGAAGCAGTTTTTGTTTACAATGACCAAATATGATGTTTTCACAAGTGTGTTTGTTTCCTCTCCAGTCTCTGCGACCAGCACTGCTGAATGTCCGTGAGATGTGTCACCGCATCAGTGAGATGGGTCTGTGTCAGATTGACAAGGATCACACGTACACACTCACTGACTTCCGAGAGGCACAGTTCAACCAACTCAATGATGTAAGTGGCTGATATTTACTATGGCTATATATATTTACCTTAAATATAGATAAACAGTAATTAATCCTCTGTTTTATTCTATTTGTACTCTTCAGGCACAAATAGGATGTTGTTATAACTAACCTTACTTTATTCCTTTAATATCTGCAATTTTATTTATAAAAAAACAAGAAATATGCACAAAATAACAACAGACAATACTACCGGTAATAATAGACTTCGGCAGCTCCATACACCACATTGAGGCATGTTTGAAGCAAATCACATATTATAAAATCGATCAGTGTGCATTCAAATTTCTATTCTCAACTACCTTGGGAGTATACATGGTTTATTATTACAGTATGTACAAGAAACATTTGGGTGTACAAGCCCCAGAATTTGGCATGCTTTTCATTGGTCATTTTATGTCACTATCTTTTCAAAAGCTTCATTTTATCATTGAAGAAATTGTTTTGGACCTTAAATGGTTGCAGTCACAAGTTTGTGTTAAGCCTGGATTTATTTAGAGGATTAATGGGTTGGATGGCCTGTTCCAGGTGGCTGGGCGGCTGCAGGACTTCCGGGAGCTGGTGAAGGAGGTAGTCCGCAGCGCTTGTCGGACTGCGCTTCTGGAAGCCGGATTCACCCCAGATGATTACTTCTATGATGGTCAGGACAGCCCTGGGCTGTATGGTGAGTGCTAGTGTCCTGCATCACACTTGGCTGATACAGTGGCTAGCAGCGGACTATAGGCGCCCGACTATATTTTATAAGCATGACCTAGATATAAGAAGGTGTGTCAGTAAATCGAAACAAAAGGGCGGCCCGGCTCAGCTCATTTCCTGACAAAGCTTCCATCGGTTTGACTGCTGATAAACTGCACAATTTATACTCAGTTGACCTCTGTAAAGTAAGCACAAACTTGATGATTTTATTCCCAATTAATTTAATAATTTTGCCGTCCATTCTCGGATTATGCCGAGTAAACAAATCTCAGGCTACAGACCCACACCAAATAGTAGAGCAAGTCTCTAATTGGACAATATAGTTGCTAAAATAGGTGGGAATAATAGAAGACGCTATCCAATTAGAGACTTTCTCTACTATTCGGTGCGGGTCTGTAGCCTGAGATTTGTTTCGACTTCGTCCGAGAATGGACAGCAAAATTATTGAAAGCTTTAAATGGGAATAAAATCATCAGGTTTGTGATACGCAAGGTACTTTACAGAGGTCAACTGAGTATAAATTGTGCAGTTTATTCAACAGTCAAAGCGATGGAAGCGTTTGTCAGAACGAAACCGAGCCGAGCTGAGCCGGGCCGCCATTTTGTTTCGATTTACTGACACACCTTTCTTATATCTTATATATGTAGGTCATGCTTATAAATATATCAGAGTCGGGCGCCTATGCAGAGGACAGAGAGAACACTCTTTGTTATGCATGTGCACTTTATTTAGTCGGGATGGGGTTGTTGGACACAAATTTGTTATACTTTCATTAGTACACAAAAACTGTCTGCTATGGTGGATTGAGATTTTATCCATGACCCATGGAGAATGAGCAATAAATTACTCAGATATGTCAAGGGTAGTTTTGTGTCCATATGTGTGTTGATTGTTACATGACTTTCATTTGGGATGCAAATTTGTGATAGTTCCTTTCTCTGCAAATCACAAAAGTTTCAACAAATACATCCATAATACACAATTCCCATGCATGGTTTGATGACCCCAGTGTGTCAGGCCAGAGACAGTCAGTGGTCTGACTTACGTCGACCATTACGTTGTGTTCAGGTGACGGCAATATGGCTCCTGGGACGGCCTCCAGCTACCTCATGCAGAGCAACTATGACATGGACATCTACGGCGAGGCTCCAGACAAGATGACCTACACTGAACAAGCCAACAAGAGGACACACTGCAAGAGACTTACATGGTCAGTACACTGTGGCAGCTGGAGAGGGTCTACCAGCTCCACACCATTACAGGGGCTGGAAAGTCCTCAACTGACTGACTGAGTATTGTTTTACGCCGCTTTTAGCAATATTCTAGCAATATTATGGCGGGGGACACCAGAAATGGGCTTCACACGAAAGTCCTCAACATCTTGGCCCTGTTTCACAATGTGAACTTCGTTTTAAGGCTCTTTTAACTGATTCATTTTTGTAGTCTTTGATGCTTTTTCTGAAATTTGTGACTCAATGAGTTGGGTTTAATGATTCGCTTTAACCAGTATTCTAGTTATATCATGTATATATTTGAAAACGGTATAAGAAGCTACACCGAAACGTTGCCATTGTCAATATTAAGAAGTTGATCATCCATAAAGTCTTGTCATCTCTATACCACCAACTTGTAGAATGCCACTCAAACAAATCATAGTTATATCATGGTATCTCATCACAGGTCTCAAATGTTTACCACTTTCATGAAATCCACAAACATGGCTATGGTGCTGACAACTCTAACAAGCATTAATCAGCTTCTTGTGCTAATGTTTTCTTCTAGATTTTATCAATTTGATTTCTTTGAGGTGTAATGCACAGGCCCTTGTGTCTTTGCGAGGATTAAAGATGTTAAAAAAAGTAAAACATTTGAGATGACCCTGACTCGAAATGCTTCACAGTACAATACATTATGACAAGGCCGGACACTTCTAGGGTGCACCCTACCCGACTGCGTTGCAGATCGCTACGCTACCATCGCATGTAATCGATTAAAACTTAATGTAAACATAATCATGGATGATTGGCCTCTCGATCACCACTCATGACACCTACCAATTCTGTATTGTTATTTCTGCAAGTTGATTGAAACCCGATTTTGACTTTCAACTAAACTATCTTGACACAAATGGATGACGATGTGTCTGCACAAAACGGGAGTGTGGTCAAAGCAAGCCCTCTGTTTGGTTGATCCATGTTTAGGAGACATTTACAACTGATGCTTTCTTTTGAGAAGTCATTGCTCGAAAAATATTCTTACATTAAGCAGTCGACAAAAGAAAAATGGATGATTGGTCTATCGAGCACCAATCATGAAATCTACCAATTCTTTATTGTTGTTACTGCAAGTCGATTGAAACTCGATTTTGACTCTTAACTAAATGATCTTGACACAAATGGATGACGATATGTCCGCACATATTGCAAATCTGCAATTCTTTATAAATTCGCGGGATTTTGATTATGTTCACATTAAGTTTTAATCGATTACATGCGATGGTAGCGTAGTGATCGGAAAAGCAAGCGGGTGGGGTATACCGAACTGTCCGGATTGTCATATTGTATTGTACTGTGTAATATTTCGAGTCGGGGATCATCTAAAAAATATTAAAATATTTATCTTTAATCTTCGCAAAGACACAAGGGCCTGTGGTGTAATGTTGATCCTCTTTTTCATGGTACATATAAAATAGGGTGAGCTAGGCCTGCAAAACATCAAAGTATAACCATATGGGATGACAGCTATCCTGAGATTATGGAATGTCAATTGGGCAGTCCCAGTCTGAAGGTAGGTGGGAGGCCACCTTTAATTATCAGGGTTGGAGGGTTTAATTTTAAGGAACTGGAACTACAACTGGTTACATGGACACATCTTGGAAATGTTTGTGTTTCTTCTTCAGCTTCATCCGACTGTCAGATTATCTGATTGTGAACACCATGCATGTGCTGGCGGTCAACTCCGTGTCCACTCTGCTCAACTACCTGTCTGAGCAGCTGCAGAACACGCCCACACTCGCACAGATACAGGGACTGGAGGAGGAGGAGGGGGACCAGAAGACAGAGGAGGAGAAGAAACCAACAGAGGACAAGAGTGGAGAGGTGAGATGGAGGAGAGAGAGTGAGTGAGTTTAGTTTTACACCACTTTTAGCAATATTCCAGCAATATTACGGCGGGGGACACCAGAAATGGGCTTCACACATTGTACCCATGCGGGGGAATCAAACCCAGGTCTTCGGTGTGACGAGGGAACCCTCTTTCCACTAGGCTACCCCACCACCCCAGCTGGAGGAGAAGTTGGGAAGGTGTTAGTGAAGATCAAGGTGAAATGTATCAGATAATATTGTAGTTTAGTGGGGATTGACGGAAGACGGCCATCTTAAAGGTGTCGTGGTACCCAGGATGCCTCAAATATATCGAATATAATCATACAGCTTTTTGAAAGAGGAGGTACACTCAGTGATCACAAGTGAAATAGAGTGGTTGGGTAGCTTAGTGGTTAAAGCATTTGCTTGTCACGCTGAAGACCTGGGTTTGATTCCTCATGTGGGTACAATGTGTAAGGCTCATTTCTGGTGTCCCCCACCATGATATTGCTGGAATATTGCTAAAAGCAGTGTAAAAACATACTCAATCACTTTCTCACAAGTGAAACACAAACACTAGATGTACACAAATAATCTTGGGAGCTATTTATTGTTGATAGCTCACTAATTGTGATCTAATAAATTATAATGGCACCTGTACAAATTCCCAAGTATAAATATTATGTATGCTTAAACAAACTGATTACAAGGAGGTGAAGTTGCAGTTTCAACTTTACATCATGTGTAAACATTTAACCTCATTCTGTGTCAATATAATCTTATACTCATGTATATTTGTACTTCTACTCACACAGACACAGGACGAGGAGGAGGAGATTCCCAAGTTACCTCCCCTGTTCATCAGTGAGTTTATTCTGGAACCGATGCAGCTGCTGTTCTCTCCGGATGTTGATGACTTCCAGGACGGTCTAGCGGAGGTCATCAAGAGATTCCAGGATTCTGTCCTCAGTGTCATGAACCTGGTGCCAGATCCCTACTTCGATGCTTTTACCAGGTGAGTGTTCCTGGAGATTAGGACAGTCTGACAAGGATGTATGTATGTTGTACATTGCAGCTTCTGTCTCTCTGTGAGCATGGGTGGCATGGTGAGTGAGTTTAGTTTTACGCTGCGCTCTGCAATATTCCAGCTATATGGCAGCGGTGTGTAAATAATTGGGTCAGGACCAGACAGTCCAGTGATCAACAGCATGAACATCGATTAATTGGGATACAATGACATGTGTCAACCAAGTCAATAAAACCTGACCACCAAATCATGTTAGTCGCCTCTTATGACAATCACTGGTTGCTGAAGACCAATTCTTGCCCGGATCTTCATGGGCTTAGGGAAAGTTATTTATGAAGTGCATATGAAGAGAAAGATGGCATCCATATTCGTAAATATCAGCCAGTATCCTATATGTAGCAGTGTGTGAGAAGTTATTTAAAGTAACAATGATGAATTTAACCACCCATACACAATTATATGATTAATTACTTTAAACATTATCATTTGAGGAGGTGTTTTGATTTTGATTTAAATATATTTTCTACAAACAGTTCAAGGCATCTGTGTCTGTTCAACATTAACAATTGATTAGAGATGCTATAAAGACAGTATGAATGTTTGGTAAGGCAAGTGATGAAATGAAACAAACATGACTTCAGCATTATATTTGTTGGTAAGGAGAGCTGAATGAAAACCTTATTATATAATGTATTCTGCCGACTTGTCAGACCTATCATCAACAACAAGTTTGAGGAGAAGACCTGTGGTGATGGCCCCAGCCTAGCCACCATGTTTGAGGATGACAAACACCTCCAGACAATCATCTACAGCATCAGGGTGAGGTTATATACTTCTAAGTAGGGGTGAAACGGTACGCTCTTACCACGGTACAGTACGTATTGCGGTACAAGGCCTTCAATTCTCACTGTTTCAGTTCGGTATATGAGAACTTACTTGCAGGAAAATAGCATCCGTCTAGCAAAGAAATGCATAGATTTTGGCAAAATGATTCGATTTCTAGAAATTTTAGAAAAGTTTTTAAAAGGTTAATAAAATAACTGCACAAAACCCAAAATACAGAATTTTTGGATTGCATTATGGTATAGTCCGAACCGAAGGCAAAATACAGCGGTTCTAATAATGCTGCGTATACCATTTCACCCCAACATGTAAGTCACCATCGTATCACTTGTAGTGCTAACTTGTGTTTCTTAGCTGCTCTAGGATCTGCTGTCATTGTTTGAAATATTGGTATTAGCACTGATTATAAGAAAATCTGACCATATGGGGATTCTGAATCAGAATAGGTTTACAGGCTTGCTTACAGGCTTGTTGCAAGAACTGGGCAGATTTTGGTGATTGTGTGGCATCATATAAGGAAGAGAGATTTTATGGATGTCAACTTGTTTATAATGAGCAACACAACGTTTCGGAGTATATCCTTACTCCTTCATCAAGTGAATGAATGGTATTAGACAGAGAGCATATATATGTACATGTAAGAACAACAAAAGACAACAAAAGATGCAGGCTAAACAATGGAACAGATGGAAGCCGATAGTGTTGATATGTGAAGAACAGTGGACAGCCGTGGCATTATATACTGAGAGAAACAAATAAAGGAACACGGGGAAATACAAGCATTCCTTTCATATTTTCAGTTTTCATCACCAGCTTTGAATAGCACCGTGGCAGGAAATTTGAGAATAAATAAAGGAACACTGCCATGAAGTGGTGTTCCCTTATTTGTTTCCCTCAGTATATGTTGTAAACCTGGCGTGTTGCTCATGCTCTCTGTCATATTTGGTCTGGTTTGGACCCTGAACCTGCTGCATGGTAATACTGGAATGTTGCTGACTGAGGCTTTATATAACATTCCCTCGCCCATTTATCCAAAACATATTTGCCTGAGTCCTCCACATGTAAAGGATCTGTACAAGCCTGATTGTTCATGCAGGATGCCATCTCAGCAGCCTTCAACGCGGCCAGCCAGTACGCCGACACGTTCGAGCCGTACCGAGAGTTCTACAAGGAGAATGAGAGCATGGACCTGGAGAGTGTACGAGCTCAGGAACATGGTGAGTATTGGTTCGTTGGGAGGATTAGTTGCAAGAGCATGCTGTTTGCTGTCTTGGGTGCTGGGTTAGGGGAGGTGTTTCTCATCCCATACATCCCCAACAACAACACAATCTATTACTTGTCATTTAAAATTAGTTCAAATGTCAGATAAGTTTGTTTCATAACTTTTGAGTCCTACCTCAACCCACCCACTGAGAGTGTTGATTTCTTTCTTGAGAGAAAAGACTGTACCATTGTATGTAACTCCCTGCAAGGTAGGCTTTTGAACTGACAATTGTCTTGTATTTTATTTCAACTGACTTTACATTAGTGATATTGTTCATTTTCAGAGTGCAAACATGACACCTAAGGCTTCTGTTTAGTTAATTTTGTTGGATGGAAAATGTGCAGACATGTGAACTGTCCTTGATTATATGAATCTTTTTAATCCATCATCAAATGTTTGAACTATTTCTGTACTGTATTCAGACACTTAATCCTGTAAGTTACAGCCCCTTCTAGACATGTGGGGTAGCCTAGTGGTTAAAGTGTTGGCTTGTCACACAGAAGATCCGTTTCGATTCCCCACAAGGATACAAGGTGTGAAGCCCATTTCTGGTGTCCCCACGCCATTATGTTGATGGAATATTGCTAAAAACAGCGTAAAACCTTACTAACTCACTTACTCTAGATATGTGTTACCAGACTGTCCTGTGGATAAGTGCTGACTTTAATGTCTTTCCATATTTCATCATACATTATTAGTTGATGGATGTATTTCTTCCTCAGATGTGGCATTCTTCTCCGAACATCTTGAAAAGTATCATAGCCAACACAAGATGGCTGAGAGTATTGTTGCTAAGCGACCAATTGGAATGTTGTTGGTTGACGCCCTGAAGATGAAGAATCAGTTGATTCCATCACCGCTCCGTTGCCTGGATGTAAGTCTCCCTACACAGGCTTTTATGTCAAGGTTTAATGTAGGATATTTGTACGTGTACAGTTGAACCCCGTTTACTCGGACCCCGTATATCTGGAAACCCCGCCTTCGGACGATTTTTTAGCCTTTACCTTCAGTAATTGTACTCGACCCCAGACCCCGCGCTTCCGGACCCAGATGGAGAATTTTCAAACCATTCCCATAGATTTCCATTGAAAAATGATCCTGTTTTCCAGATGGAAAGATCTGTGCGCATGTGCATGTGTATGTTTACCCGACGACTAAGTGTATTCATCGTTAATCTCTCTCGGCAGGCAGTTGATGTGAATTGATTAATTACCCATCAAAATACTAGGGACGTGGGTCACTTTAGTTGTTAATTAGGATTTGGCAGTTGTGAGAACATCTCATCAGTAACAATTAGGTTTATTAGGATTAGGATTAACTACATTGTAATTGTACTGTATATAGCGTCTCGTCAATATGCATCGTCAATACGTTTTGCTTGTTTGATCCAGTTAGCCAGACGCCTTGCTTTCCGGATGATTTCCCGAGTGTAACCAAAATGTCCGGATAAATGGGGTTCGACTGTATCTAACTGGTGCCATTGAGGCACTTGGATTAAGGGAAATCTTTGCATTTTCTTGAAAACTAAGACTCCCCTAGGGCTTGTTTCTCCCAAACCCAAATATATCAACAATATTGATTTACTTTACAGAGTTTAAGAAATATGTCATTTCTTGATTGACCTTTTTACATTTTTAGGAGAGAATCTCTAAACAGTAAATAGTGCTATGAAGCTATAAGGGACCGTGGTTTATGGTTTATGACTAGGGGGTGATGATAACTTTTATGGAGAGGCATGTACAATATGAATGCCCCCCCACCCCCCTTAAAATTGATGTACAAAGTAAGTGCTTTCTCACCACACACCACACCCTCCTGCGTGTCATGTACAAAAGCAATTACGCACCTTTCCCTTGCCTGATTTTAAGCATAATGTTTAAATGTTCTATGTTCAAAATTGCTGACCCCGCCAGTACATGTGTACAAAATTGATGAGCCCCACCTTCCCAAAACAAACTGGGTGGCCCCTCTTAAAATCATCCCCACCCCCACCCCACCCCACCCCCACCCCACCCAAACCATAAATTATGAGCCGTCCCTAAAGTGGACGTTCTAGTTTTAGTACCGACAATTGCACTGTTAAGTCAAAGAGAAGCTGAGTGAAATATCTAATTCTCACCAATATGAGCATATCATAATCTTCATAATTCTTTGTGAAAGGTTTTCCTCTTTCATAACTTGTAATATATTATAGAGATCCTTTGGGATAAAAGGGTCCATTTAGTATTTCCTCCATTGCTGGCAACATTTAGATACAAAATACTTCATTAAAACTGTCAAACCAATCAATAACTAAAGCAAGACACTGCTAAATATAATAGAAACTGGCATCAACTGTAAACATGTATAAAATCAACTAATAAGAAATAATGCACTGTTTTGCATGTTACCACAAGATAATGGTGAGCTACGGTACCTATTTGGTAAATGCAAACAAATGTAACTGCGAATGTTTGTATGAATAATTGATGTGTTGGTGAGAGTGCGTTGATTGTGGCTGTGATAGTACTTGGAGAGAGACAGCGAATCATGTCCTGCTTTCTCTCTGTGCTTGTAGCGATGTATAATTAATGGCTGGTTTAGACACGCAAATTGGCACTGATAACGATCGGTCACTGATTGCCTGGCATTGTCTGTTGGTGAAGAGGATGGCTGAAAAGTGAAATGATTTAACATGGGTGCTGAGAGATTCTCGTTTTAATTAAAGTTTCAACTGACTGCTGTTTGACATGAAATATTGATTCAGGACCTGCAGAAGGGGAGAGAACTCTTCTTACTTATAATTTTCTTAAAGGAGCAAATGTTCTGACTTCAAATTAATAGAATTAATTCTTTGTATTTTATTTCTTTTGCTTTACATTTTGTTAACATGCTCAAATAAACTGAGATTGAAAATATTTTGTAAATTAGACATTTTTGACAATTGTTAGATGAATGAGAGGTATTCATTCACTTTGAGATGAGTTCATGATTAATTCTACAATTATGACAACCTCTATTAAGCTAGAAAAGGTATGGAAATAAATCTTAGGAAATTATGTTTGAATCTAGTGATATTTTGTTTATATATTTCATTAACTCTTATTTCAAAACTCTGTGGGGCAGTGGGGAAGCCTTGTCGTTAAAGCTTCTGCTCGTCACGCTCGAGACCGGGTTTGATTCCTCACATGGGTACAATGTGTGAAGCCATTTCGGGTGTCCCCCGCCGTGATAAACTCACTCACTCACTCAAAACTCTGGTCATGTATATCAGTGATCAGTGTGTTCAGTACTTCAATTTACATATCATAGTGTTTTGTATTTCTAATTATCAATGACATGTTGTTAATTTCAGGTGATCAACGACATGCTGCCTATCCTTGCTAAGAGCGAGGTAGACCGGCTGATCGCCGAGCTACAGGACGCACAGTTCAAGCTGGAGACCACCCCCACCACCACGCTAGAGTTTGTCCACTGCCTCACTTTCCTGGACGAAATACAAGTCAGGGTAGGGCACATACACAGAGAGCTTGTGGAGATTACTTTGACAAAAATACGAAAATATTATCCAGTTAATTGTCTCCATCAAATAAATGATGTTACCTTTCACCACCATAGTGGCAGGGGGTGGTGGGTAGCCTAGTGGATAAAGCGTTCGCTCAGCACACCAAAGACCCAGGTTTGATTCCCCACATGGGTACAATGTGTGAAGCGCATTTTTGATGTCCCAGTCGTGATATTGCTGGAATATTGCTAAAAGTAAAAGCGGCATAAAACTAAACTCACTCACTCCAGTCACCATAGTGGCAGACACAGTGACTCTAAATGGAAAATTTAGACAAAAAAAAGTTGAAAGGTGAGGTGAGATGCAATTGGGTTTAACGTTGTGCTTGAGAATATTTCGCTCATATGACAACGTGCATGCGTGTGTATGTGTATGTGCAGCTGCTTGTACTAGCCCAGACTTAAGCTGGTTTTATAGTGCTAGCCCACTGAGATACCATGCCGCAGTGAAGCATAAATACCCCACTCAAACACATTAACCTGACTCCGAGCCGACCAGTCCTTGTTGTGCCCATTAATGCCGAGCGCCAGGCAGGGACCAACAAGTACCATATTTTAACGTCTTTTGGTATGACGCGGCCGGGAATCGAACCCGCGACCTTCCGCTCTCCGGGCGGATGTTCTAACCATTACACCACAGAGGCGGTCAAAAGTTGAAAGGCACATATGTCATGCTGAAAACTGGAAATGTTCATTTCACCCCAAAACGTTTGTTTATTCTGTTTCAAGTTATCAGTGTTATTGCTATGTGTATTTCAGATTGAACCTCTGGAGAAGGAGGCGATGGTCGTCAAGGATATGTACGACCTGATTGACGAGTACAAAGTACCAACACCTCCAGAAGACTTTGCTGTCTATCAGGCAAGATTTCAAGTTCAAATACTTATAAACTATTTCCAGTAGTTAGATAACAGATTTCAGTGACTGCATTCTTGGTGGTTCTCATGGTAATTTTCCACAAAGTGATTGGCATATGGCGCCTTGAATGGACCTCTTTACACATATTTTATGGATCTTATCACTTATCATATCATAGAGGCGATGGGGTGTAGCCTAGTCTTAGCCTAGTCTTTTCAAGCATTCGCTCATCCCGCTAAGACCGGGTTCGAGTCCCCACATGGGTACAATGTGTGAAGTGCATTTCTGGTGTCCCCTGCCGTGATATTGCTGGAATACTGCTAAAAGCAGCGTAAAACCATACTCACTCACTCACTCACTCACTATCATATCATACTTTATTTGGGTATGTTTCTGTGCAGACTCTGGGCCCATCAATCACCAATGTACGTAATGCAATAGACAAGTGTCTGACTGAAAGAGACGCCAATATTGACAAGTTCTGTACCCATCTGGACAAGGACATCGCTGAGCTGGCGAAGGAGGTGAAGGAAATCAAGCAGGAGGCGCCCATCAATCACCAATGTACGTAATGCAATAGACAAGTGTCTGACTGAAAGAGACGCCAATATTGACAAGTTCTGTACCCATCTGGACAAGGACATCGCTGAGCTGGCGAAGGAGGTGAAGGAAATCAAGCAGGAGGCCCAGGTAACCAACACTATCAACCTTCATTGTCTAGAAAGGCAGTGGGGTAGCCTTTGTGGTTAATGCGTTTGCCCGTCATGCCCAAAACCTGGGTTTGATTCCCATTATGGGTACAATGTGTGAAACCTATTTCTTGTGTCCCCCACCATGATATTGCTGGAATATTGCTAAAAGTGGCGTAAAACCCAACTCACTCACTCAGTCATTATCCAGACACCTCCACAAACTGATGGAACTTCTGAATCTTTAGCTAATAGAAAGGAGAGGCCAAACTGATCAATATTTGCGATAACTTGCTCCAGAATGGTGAGTGATGTGCACAAACTCCTTCCTTCATAACAGATGTGTAATTTCATTAGTTGTCATATCTTGTCTTTTTGTGACAACTATTGAAGAAATGTCTAATTGGCTTCCTTGTGTTGTGGGGTGGTAGGGTAGCCTGGTGGTTAAAGCGTTCGGACGACACGCTGAAGACCCGGGTTTGATTCCCCACATGGACACAATGTGTGAAGCCCATTTCTGGTGTCCCCAGTCGTGATATGGCTGGAACTTTGCTAAAAGCGCGTAAAATCCAACTCCCTCACTCACTCCTTGTGTTGCAGAACCCCATCATCCTGGACGTGAACTCGGACACAGACAAGGTGAAACAGGTGCTCACTAAGCTTCTCAATCAGATGGAGGATCTACAGAAGCGAGCATACACGTACAAGTCCTACCAGAAGAACTTCAAGGTATTCATACTGTCTCACTGCATCTGTCTAGACTTCATTATGTTCTTTGAGTTGCAATAAGATGAACCTAGGCTTAGATATTTTCTAAACCTACATTCTGTCTAAATGTCCATTGACTTAAAGGGCTTCACTGTTTCTACTGTGTGCAATGATCATTGACATTATCTTAATTTACACGTTACTATGGAGATATATATAGGAAAGTCACTGACTGTGATAACGAAAACCTGATCACTTACTTCCAACATTCCTGACACACAAATGTGACTGAGATGCTGTCCCTTCTTCGAACTCTCCCTCCCTCACTCACTCATTCCCTCCTCACTCACTCCCTCACTCACCCCCTCCTTCCATCCCTCTCATCACACCCCCTCCTCTCCTTCACCCTCTCCTCACCACTTCTTCCATCCCTCCTTCCATCCATCACTCACTCACTCAGTCATACTCACTCACTCAGTCAGTCATACTCACTCACTCACTCATACTCACTCTCTCACTCACTGTTTCAGGTCGAGGTTACCAAATTTGATGCCCTGGAGGAGGCGTATGCTGAGCTGAAGCTGAAGGAGCTGCTATGGACGGCCATTGACGAGTGGGACGCCTTGCTGGAGGAATGGACGACTGTAAGTATCAGCAATTGAAATAGTGTTCATTTCACCCAAAATGAAATTGACATGATTTTGATTACTTTGTATTGAGACAAATTATGGTTATGCTGGGATTTTATCTGGAATTGGCATTTATTTGGCATTTTCCAGATAGAATAGGTCGCCATGTCCCATGCTTATTGTGACAAAACAAGATGTTTGTGGCCAGATACTTGGCTCATTGTGGCCATTGCACCAGATGGTGTTTAGCTTGGTTTATTCTTTCAGTCGTTGATTTGTTTCTTGATGTGATTCATCAACCACCATCTTTCAGCTGGAATACGCTGACTAGGGTGTTAAGCAACAAACTCCAGTGTACAATTTTCACATTACTCTGATAGTTTGGTATAAGTGAAAAGTACTCCTGACATATCCTTGTAGACTTTTGCTGTTACACAGATGTCAACTCTGTAGCAGATCAGATCATTTTTGCAGCCAACTTCAAAATATTATTGCAATGGTGTTCACTGACATTATGAAAGTTATGTTTCCCAAACGTGCATGTGTGTGTTTCAGTCGTCGTTCGAGGCCTTGGATCCTGAGACGATGACCAATACGACTCTCAGGTATTCAAAGTCTGTCCTGCAGCTGGAGAAGGGCCTGCCGCCAAACGCCGTCGTCCCCAAACTCAAGGAGAGAGTTGAACTCATGAGGGAAAGGGTGAGTGACACACCATGCCATTCGATTGTGACTTACCCATGAAGATCCGGGTTAGAATTAATCTTCAGGAACCCATGCTTGTCATAAGAGGCGACTAACGGGATCGGGTGGTCAGGCTCACTGACTTGGTTGACACGTCCCAATTGCTTAGGTCGATGCTCATGCTGTTGATCACTGGATTGTTTGGTCCACTTGATTATTTACAGACCTCCGCCATATAGCTGGAATATTGCTGAGTGCGGCATAAAACTAAACTCACTCAGTCTTTCGTAACTACATTAAACCAGTGGCAGTTGGGTAGCCATATGGGTGAAGCACTCACTGGGCTTACGAGCAGGTTCGATTTCACAGTTCCCTTTTGTCCATATCTCTTCTTACCATAACACTTGGTATCCTACTAAAGGATTAAAATAGAACTTAACTATGCCTCACTGTTTTTGCACAACTGATTTATCTGTCAGTGAAGCTAAAGTCATGATGTGGTTTGTGCAGCTGCCTGTGATCACGGATCTGCGGAACCCGACTCTGAAGCCGCGGCACTGGGACCTGATCCAGGAGGTCCTCGACGTTCAGTTTACACCCGAGGATCCCCTGACCCTCGGCAAACTGTCTGACATCAACGCCTTCAAGCACGGCGAGGCTTTGCAGGAGATCTCGGGACAAGCGTCATCTGAGGCTAGTCTGGAGGCCATTTTGAAAAAGGTTTGTATTCTTTTAAGAATTTCTGTGTTAAGGTTTTGGTGAACTCTGAAACAGAACTATTTGTAGATATTGAAGTTGGTGTGTAGTCTAACCTTCTCATTCTCATGTTTCTTTCTTTTGCAAGACGAGACCATCATCTCTTGAAATACTGATGTTTAACTGACCTGATTATATAGAATGATAACAGTTTCTCTACATTTCATATCATTTTGAAAATAAGAAATGCATCAATATAAAAGTCATTCAATCAGTATAACACACTCATATAATAATCTCTTTGTTCATGGCTGTATTCGAGCAGAAGGTTGTGGGTCCATCTCCAGCCGTGTTAAACCAAAAGACATTAAAATATGGTACTTGTTGGTCCCTGCCTGGCGCTCAGCATTAATGGGTACAACAAGGACTGGTCGGCTCGGAGTCAGTATAATGTGTCTGAGTGGGGTATTCATGTTTAACTGGCATGGTATCTCAGTGAACTAGCACTATAAAACCAGCTTAAGTCTGGGCTAGTACAAGCAGCCACACATGCACACGCATGCACATTGTCACATGAGCGAAATATTCTTAAGTACAACGTTTAACCCCATTTCACCTCACCTCATGGCTGTATTCAGCTGCAGATTGTTTTTAGGTGCCAATTTGGACTTCCTCTCATTCCAGGAGCATGAACCACACATTAGGAGAGATTTTGTCATAGACGTTGCTGTTTTGTTTACTTCTAATAGCAAGAAGCCAGCTGTATGTTTCCGTCAATGCTGTGTATGTTGTAGACTCTGATGATGTCTATGTTGTAGGTGGAGGATTCATGGAAGTCCACAGAGTTTGTTGTGCTGCCACACAAGGACTCGAAAGATGTGTATATCCTGGGTGGGACAGATGACATCCAGCAACTACTTGATGACAGCAACATCAACGTCGCTACCATTGCCAGCTCTCGTAACGTTGGCCCAATCAAACCTCGGGTTGAGGAGTGGGGAAAGCAGCTGGATCTGTTCAATAAAACCCTGGTTAGTGCAGACATGGACAAAATTGTCACTGTTTCACTGATTAAACTTTTCGGTACTAGTATTCAGTTGTTTGCAATAGGATTCTTCCCTGTGCCAGGTCAGATACTGTTTGGGCTTTAACAATGTGTAGTAGTTGTGTTTGTCATCTTCATACCAGACTGGGATGTGTGTAGGTCCGAGGACCCATCTGTGTTATAAAGGACAACTACAATGAGGTATCGATGGTCATGAGGGTCACGATGACCTAGCTGTTAGTGCTTCCTGTGCTCATACTGTCAACCATTTGTATGTGTGGACGAAACATTACAATGCTGGTTCAAGTTATTTTCAAATTAAAATACAGAAATCATTTTCAATATCAACAGCTGACAGATAATGTTTCAATTTGAATTCTTCAAGCAAACATAAAAACAAACAAAACAAAGAAACCTTACAAATGTTAAGAGAGTGTATGTTGAAAGGTGAATCCTCATTCAGCTAGAGTGTGATGATGGTTATTTCCCCAATAGGAAGAATGGCTGAACTGTCAGCGAAGCTGGCTGTACCTGGAGAGCATCTTCTCAGCTCCAGACATCCAGCGTCAGCTGCCGGCCGAGGCCAAGATGTTCATGCAGGTAGACAAGTCATACAAGGACATCATGAGGAAGGTCAACAAGGTACCACTGGCCATCCGTGCCCGGCACACAACCAGGTACGTCCACCAGTGTGGTAGTCAGCACGTGTGGTGGGAATGAAGTCACATGGGTGATTTTAGTGATGTTTTCTACATAATTATACAGATTATCACATGCAATTGTTGTGCAAATTATTAGCATTCTTGTAGCAGTTGCATGTTTTTTGTTTACCCCAAAACTCAGCTCTCTTCTTAAAAAAGACCTGTATATGGTCAATTTTTCAAACTGAAAGAGACACAGATGTTATGAAAGTATATCAAACTGAGTGTAGCATTGACTCTGTTCCATCTTTGTTTTGATCATGTCTTGCTGTTAAGGTGGTGTGAGATTTTAATCTTTTGTGGCATGGTTGTATTTTGTTACCAGTATTATTGTTGTAGAGTTAGAAACTTTAAACAATTAGAAACTTGATTTTCTCCTTGGTTCTCTGGACAGTGATTCAATATATCTAAACCTTATTCCATTTGAACAAGACTAAATACGTTATGGGATAATGCGTATTGTGGAACAATCTGATAATATGATTGTGTGTTTCAGGTCTGCTGGAGACATTCCAGAACAACAATGCTCTGCTGGACCAGATCATGAAGTGTCTGGAGGCCTACCTCGAGTCCAAGAGAGTCATCTTCCCACGGTAAACAATTGTCATGGGTTTCCTATTTCATGTCATATTATTTCCTCCTTTTGCAACAGGCAGTTCTCAGATACCTTGAGTAAACCTACCGAAGTGTAGTGAGTGAGTGAGTTTAGTTTTACTCCGCACTCAGCAATATTCCAGCTATATGACAGCAGTCTGTAAATAATCGAGTCTGGACCAGACAGTCCAGTGATCAACAGCATGAACATCGATCTGCGCAATTGGGAACCAATGACTTGTGTCAACCAAGTCAGCGAGCCTGACCACCCGATCCCGTTAGTCGCCTCTTACAACAAGCATGGGTTGCTGAAGAGCAATATTCAAACCCGGACCTTCAAGGGTTCTACCGAAGTGTAGGAGAATTGTGTTACAGAGATTGCCTTCAGGACTATTGACGAGTATTTTGTTTACGTTCATAGATGTTTCCTTTCAAAGTTCTTTCACCCTGCAATCAGTCAAAAACATGTCTGATCTATAACTAATATGTGATTTCATTCCCTTGCAATAATTTGTTCACTTTATTGTATTTTTAGGTTCTACTTCTTGTCTAATGACGAGCTGCTGGAGATCTTAGCTCAGACAAGGAACCCCATGGCTGTACAACCCCACCTGAGAAAATGTTTTGATGCCATCGCGGAGCTGGAGTTTGGGGTACAGGGTGCGTCAGAAGGCAAGGCTTCTCCTGAAGGTAGGAGGGTTGTCACCATGATGTGATGGCTAGGGCATTTGGTAATTTGGTCCAGACAATAGGAACACTAGTAACCTTGGCCTGGACAATGTGAACAATAGTAACCTTGGCCTGGACAATGTGAACAATAGTAACCTTTGCCTGGACAATGTGAACAATGGTAACCTTGGTTCAGACAATATGAACAATGGTAACCTTGGTTCAGACAATATGAACAATGGTAACATTGGTCAAGACAATATGAACAATGGTAACCTTGGTCAATGGTAACCTTGGTCCAGACAATATGAACAATGGTAACCTTGGTTCAGACAATATGAACAATGGTAACCTTGGTTCAGACAATATGAACAATGGAAACCTGGTTCAGACAATATGAACAATGGTAACCTTGGTTCAGACAATATGAACAATGATAACAATGGTCAAGACAATATGAACAATGGTAACCTTGGTCAATGGTAACCTTGGTCCAGACAATGTGAACAATGGTAACCTTTGTCCAGACTTATGATCAATGGTAACTTTGGTTCAGACAATATGAACAATAGTAACCTTGGTTCAGACAATGTGAACTATGGTAACTGGTCCAGACTTTATGATCAATGGTAACCTTGGTTCAGACAATATGAACAATAAGAACCTTGGTTCAGACAATGTGAACAATGGTAACCTTGGTTCAGACAATATGAACAATGGTAACCTGTGGTTCAGACAATATGAACAATGGTAACCTTGGTTCAGACAATATGAACAATGGTAACCTTGGTTCAGACAATATGAACAATGGTAACCTTGGTTCAGACAATATGAACAATGGTAACCTTGGTCAATGGTAACCTTTGTCCAGACAATGTGAACAATAGTAACCTTGGTTCAGACAATATGAACAATGGAAACCTTGGTTCAGACAATATGAACAATGGTAACCTTGGTTCAGACAATATGAACAATGGTAACCTTGGTTCAGACAATATGAACAATGGTAACCTTGGTTCAGACAATATGAACAATGGTAACCTTGGTTCAGGCAATATGAACAATGGTAACCTTGGTTCAGACAATATGAACAATGGTAACCTTGGTTCAGACAATATGAACAATGGTAACCTTGGTCAATGGTAACCTTGGTCCAGACAATGTGAACAATAGTAACCTTGGTTCAGACAATATGAACAATGGTAACCTTGGTTCAGACAATATGAACAATGGTAACCTTGGTTCAGACAATATGAACAATGGTAACCTTGGTTCAGACAATATGAACAATGGTAACATTGGTCAAGACAATATGAACAATGGTAACCTTGGTCAATGGTAACCTTGGTCCAGACAATATGAACAATGGTAACCTTGGTCCAGACTTTATGATCAATGGTAACCTTGGTCCAGACAATATGAAAAGTGGGAACATTCCTGAAACTTATAACTGTTTAACAAACACAGCACAGATGTAAGGAACTTGAATGCAAGCAATGGTTAGTTATTATAACAATGATGATGGTGTTGATGCAACAATTATGCTAATGCTAACAGTTATTATTTTGAGACTGACAACAGTCAGGGCAGTGCGTTCATTGCAGTGATGTATGAGAAGAATGATGCTTGTGTTGTAGATGGAGAGAAGGCGGAGATTCAGTACACCAATGACATCATAGCCATGCTGTCCCCTGAAGGAGAGAAGGTGTCCCTTGGCAAGGTAAGATTTAACAAACGATCAATGTAAACATCACCTCAAATGGAATAAAGTCCATTCAGTTCTCCACATATCGTCACTCAAGGCAGAACTTTGCTGATCAAGGGGCAGATAACTCAGGAGCTGAGATTTTCTTGTGTTGGATATGGTACAGGGTTGCTTCTTTTGTTGCGCCAAAAGGGCCAAGAATATGTTTGAAATTTGTGAAATAATTCACTAGGCATTATCATTTGTATTCAGTCCTGTCAATACCAACAGTTTCTCATAGAAAGACTGAATCGTGGTCCATCTGGCTTTCTTAACATAGTTTTCAAAGTCCTTAGCTTACAGTGTTAATTAAGTAAAGGGTAGATATTTGCTCACAGCTAGTGGCTGCTACTCTGTAATACTGTGTGTGTGTGCTGCAGGGCCTGAAGGCTCGAGGCAATGTGGAAGACTGGCTGGGCAAGGTGGAAGAAGGAATGTTCTCCAATCTCAGGAAACTCACCAAGGCTGCCATCACAGACTTTGAGCGCAGGACCAGAGAAGAATGGGTTGTCTGCCATGCTTCGCAGGTATATCTTCCAGCTTTTTAACATTGTTAAGTTTCAAAATGTGTATGTAGTTAAATGTTATGAAAGTACAGGATCAACCATACTGAATTCGTTGTATGTGATCATTGTCTAAAGGGGAAATATATTGGTTGATGATAATGATGGTTGACTCACTGATGTAGGATTGGGAAATGATAACACCTACTATGTGTTTTGTAGATTGTGCTGACAGTGTCCCAGCTGATGTGGTGCCGGGACGTCTCTGAGATCCTGGAGGGAGACTTTGACAGACTCGCAGCCATGAAAGACTTTGAGCAGAAGAATTACAGAGTAAAAACATTACTGTCAACCTTCATATTTATTCACAGATTTATAGCCAAAGGAATAAACTGTTTTGATAACGAGTGGGATGTATGGTATGAGATTGCACTCTTGTTGTGAAATTTCAGGTAGGAAATCGTTTTTGTTCCATTCCAGGATTTGAACAAGCTGGCTGCCATCGTGCGTGGTGAACTGCCCAAGTTGGCTCGAGCTGTGCTGTGCGCTCTCATCACCCTTGACGTCCATGCCAGGGACATGATCACAGAGATTGTGCAGATGGAGGTAGGGGACATAATGACATATTTCCATTAAGTTGTAACCATCTACAACCCACGTCACAATGACCATTTCTCACACACTGACATCCTCATTCATGATTAGCTTCAGTGACCTACAACCCAAAGTGACCTGACCATGCCCTGTGTTTAGGTTGACAATATAGCCAATATGACCTGACCATGCCCTGTGTTTAGGTTGACAATATCGCCAATATGACCTGACCATGCCCTGTGTTTAGGTTGACAATATCGCCAATATGACCTGACCATGCCCTGTGTTTAGGTTGACAATATTGCCAATATGACCTGACCATGCCCTGTGTTTAGGTTGACAATATGGCCAATATGACCTGACCATGCCTGCGTTTAGGTTGACACCATCACCAATATAACCTGACCATGCCCTGTGTTTAGGTTGACAACATCACCAATATGACCTGACCATGCCTGTGTTTAGGGTGACAACATCACCAATATAACCTGACCATGCCTGTGTTTAGGTTGACACCATCACCAATATAACCTGACCATGCCCTGTGTTTAGGTTGACAATATCACCAATATAACCTGACCATGCCTGTGTTTAGGTTGACACCATCACCAATATAACCTGACCATGCCCTGTTTTTAGGTTGACAACGTCACCAATATAACCTGACCATGCCTGTTTTTAGGTTGACAACATCACCAATATAACCTGACCATGCCTGTTTTTAGGTTGACAACATCACCAATATAACCTGACCATGCCTGTGTTTAGGTTGACAACATCACCAATATAACCTGACCATGCCTGTTTTTAGGTTGACATCATCACCAATATAACCTGACCACGCCCTGTGTTTAGGTTGACAATATGGCCAATATGACCTGACCATGCCTTTGTTTAGGTTGACACCATCACCAATATAACCTGACCATGCCCTGTGTTTAGGTTGACAATATCTCCAATATGACCTGACCATACCCTGCGTTTGGGTTGATAATATCGCCAATATGACCTGACCATGCCCTGTGTTTAGGTTGACAATATGGCCAATATGACCTGACCATACCCTGCATTTAGGTTGACAATATCGCCAATATGACCTGACCATGCCCTGTGTTTAGGTTGACAATATTGCCTATATGACCTGACCATGCCCTGCATTTAGGTTGACAATATTGCCAATATAACCTGACCATGCCCTGCGTTTAGGTTGACAATATCGCCAATATAACCTGACCATGCCTGTGTTTAGGTTGACACCATCACCAATATAACCTGACCATGCCCTGTGTTTAGGTTGACAACATCACCAATATAACCTGACCATGCCCTGTGTTTAGGTTGACAACATCAACAGCTTCCAGTGGCAGAAGCAGCTGCGGTACTACTGGGACATGGACATGGACAACTGCGTAGTGAGGATGTCCAACTCCCTCTACGAGTATGGCTACGAGTACCTCGGGGCGTCCGCACGACTTGTCATCACACCACTCACTGTGAGTTCATCTTTCTTGTATCTTATTTTCATGATTGCCTTTTGCTGTGGTGAACAGGTACCACATGGCCTAATTGTATAACACCCTGTTTTTGTGACATCAGCCTATTTTTGAAATAGCTTTGCACTTGCTTCTTTTAATGACCTCCAGTATTTAATTAATCAAGATTGAAAACAAATATTTTTGTTTTGTTTTTGCTTGGTTTTGAGTGTTGCAGTATGTCATAAAGTAACGTGAAGATCATTATACATACATATAATCTGATGATAACTGTTTACAGCAGTGTTCGCGAATAGTGTCTGACCCTCTGACAAATCCGGCAGATTCGCCAATGGTCTGATAGAAGTCTACAACCCACCGGCCCCAGTGTCCGACTGTATATTTCACAATGACTTTGACTGAAGTTGTTATATGTGACATGTGACACTTGTTTGCTGTTTATTTTATCTTAATTTTTCTTATGTTTGTTAATAATTTCAATGCCAATGATAAGAAATGTTAAATATGAAATGTGTGTTTAATTTTGTTCCATGGGTCCTGTGAATTTTCAGTGGGTCAGACAGACATCTTAAACTTACAGGAAACACCATTCGTGAACACTGTTATAGTATACAAGTGTTGGAGATAAGAATTAGAATTTGCAAAATATTTGTTTTCTGGTATTTACTCGATGCAGATCAATTGTTTTACTGTAGGAGTGTTGCATTTAATTAGCTGTAAAAGTGAAGATGTTCATTTACTGTAAATCAATTAGTGGAAGTTGAAGATGGCTATTGTGTTCCAGGATCGCTGTTACCTGTGTTTGATGGGGGCCTTACAACTGGACCTTGGGGGTGCTCCGGCCGGACCTGCGGGACGGGGAAGACTGAGACCACCAAAGATCTGGCCAAGGCTCTGGCCAAACAGTGTGTGGTCTTCAACTGCTCTGATGGTCTCGACTACAAGGTAAAGCAGATCAGCCCAAGTTACTGACCTTTTACCTGATTCAACTTGAAAGCAGGGCGGTTGATGATCTAGTGGTTTTAGCAAGTTGCTTCTTCAGCTAAGTCTTTCATTCCCTGGATACAGTGAGTGACACCCGTGAAGATCCGGGTTAGAATTGGTCTTCAACAAACCATGCTTGTTGTTAGAGGCAACTAATGGGATCGGGTGGTCAGGCTCGCTGACTTAGTTGACAGATGTCATCGTATCCCAATTGTGTTGATCGATGCTCATGCTGTTGATCACTGGATTGTCTGGTCCAGACCGCTGTCATATAGCTGGAATATTGCTGAGTGTGGCGTAAAACTTAACTCACTCACCACAACGAGTGAAGCACATATCTGATTTCATTCGGCCATGGTGTTGCGTGTATATTTATATAATCAGCTTAAAAGAGTATGTACATTTTATTTCACTGGAAAAAACATTATGGTCAATGCTGGTGTTTGAAATTGAAAATGCTTGAGTTTATGTTTTGATACCATTGTTCTAGAAAAAGTATGTTCTGTGTGTTGTCTTATAGTCAGCATTCAGACTGTTATACCTGAGTTCTGTTCTTTTGTCATATCAGCCTTGCACATGATGGTTTGGAGAGCAGGCAGTATATGGTGTGCATGTTTCACATGATGGTTTGGAGAGCAGGTAGTATATGGTGTGCATGTTTCAGATGATGGTTTGGAGAGCAGGTAGTATATGGTGTGCATGTTTCAGATGATGGTTTGGAGAGCAGGTAGTATATGGTGTGCATGTTTCAGATGATGGTTTTGGAGAACAGGGTAGTATATGGTGTGCAGATGATGGTTTGGAGAGCAGGTAGTATATGGTGTGCATGTTTCAGATGATGGTTTGGAGAGCAGGTAGTATATGGTGTGCATGTTTCAGATGATGGTTTGGAGAGCAGGTAGTATATGGTGTGCATGTTTCAGATGATGGTTTGGAGAGGTAGGTAGTATGTTTCAGGATGGTTTGCATGTTGTGCATGTTTCAGATGATGGTTTGGAGAGCAGGGTGTGCAGTATGATGGTTTGGAGAGCAGGTAGTATGGTGTGCATGTTTCAGATGATGGTTTGGAGAGCAGGTAGTATATGGTGTGCATGTTTCAGATGATGGTTTGGAGAGCAGGTAGTATATGGTGTGCATGTTTCAGATGATGGTTTGGAGAGCAGGTAGTATATGGTGTGCATGTTTCAGATGATGGTTTGGAGAGCAGGTAGTATATGGTGTGCATGTTTCAGATGATGGTTTGGAGAGCAGGTAGTATATGGTGTGCATGTTTCAGATGATGGTTGGGAGAGCAGGTAGTATATGGTGTGCATGTTTCAGATGATGGTTTGGAGAGCAGGTAGTATATGGTGTGCATGTTGCATGTTTCAGATGATGGTTGGGAGAGCAGGTAGTATATGGTGTGCATGTTTCAGATATAGATGATGGTTGGATGGTTTGGAGCAGGTAGTATATATGGTGTGCATGTTTCAGATGATGGTTTGGAGAGCATATATGGTTTCAGATGATGGTTTGGAGAGCAGGTAGTATATGGTGTGCATGTTTCAGATGATGGTTTGGAGAGCAGGTAGTATATGGTGTGCAGGTAGTATAGATGATGGTTGGGAGAGCAGGTAGTATATGGTGTGCATGTTTCAGATGATGGTTTGGAGAGCAGGTAGTATATGGTGTGCATGTTTCAGATGATGGTTTGGAGAGCAGGTAGGTGCAGTATGATGGTTTGGAGAGCAGGTGGTGTGCATGTTTCAGATGATGGTTATATGGAGAGCAGGTAGTAGTATATGGTGTGCATGTTTCAGATGATGGTTTGGAGAGCAGGTAGTATATGGTGTGCATGTTTCAGATGATGGTTTGGAGAGCAGGTAGTATATGGTGTGCATGTTTCAGATGATGGTTGGGAGAGCAGGTAGTATATGGTGTGCATGTTTCAGATGATGGTTTGGAGAGCAGGTAGTATATGGTGCATGTTTCAGATGATGGTTTGGAGAGCAGGTAGTATATGGTGTGCATGTTTCAGATGATGGTTGGGAGAGCAGGTATGATGGTTGCATGTTTCAGATGGAGAGCAGGTAGTATATGGTGTGCATGTTTCAGATGATGGTTTGGAGAGCAGGTAGTATATGGTGTGCATGTTTCAGATGATGGTTTGGAGAGCAGGTAGTATATGGTGTGCATGTTTCAGATGATGGTTTGGAGAGCAGGTAGTATATGGTGTGCATGTTTCAGATGATGGTTTGGAGAGCAGGTAGTATATGGTGTGCATGTTTCAGATGATGGTTTGGAGAGCAGGTAGTATATGGTGTGCATGTTTCAGATGATGGTTGGGAGAGCAGGTAGTATATGGTGTGCATGTTTCAGATGATGGTTTGGAGAGCAGGTAGTATATGGTGTGCATGTTTCAGATGATGGTTGGGAGAGCAGGTAGTATATGGTGTGCATGTTTCAGATGATGGGACGTTTCTTCTCGGCCTGGCCCAGTCCGGGGCTTGGTGCTGCTTTGATGAGTTCAACAGAATCGACATCGAGGTGTTGTCTGTCATAGCACAGCAGCTGATTACCATCAGGAATGCCAAGGCACAGAAGGTAGGAGAACACAACTATACTCCATCATTATTATCATACACCATTTACCATTTCTACTCTTCTCATATCAAAACTGATTCAGGAAATTCAGTGTTTTGTGTGTTTTATACTGCTTTTATATTACAAAAGGAGTTAAAAGATGTGGAAAGGAATTCTCAAATTATTGAATGACTTTTGGGCACAGGTGGCTCAGTCAGCTAAGACACTGTAATTCATTGTTCTGAGTTGTGTCCCTTGGGTGAGTAAGGATCTGATGAGTTTTAATCCCAGAATAACACTGATTAGTTCTCCTCCCTTGTCAAGATGACAGACAATATTTAGAGAACTGATGTAAATAAATATTTTCAAGCTCTGTTAAACCATCTCACAGCTTCCAAATGCCACAAGATCTGCTGTTCAATGAAGTTTGGAATCCAACTTGTCTTTTGCAGTTATCCAGATTCATGTTTGAAGGGCGTGAGATCAAGCTGCTGCCGACGTGTGCAGCCTTCATCACCATGAACCCTGGCTACGCTGGGAGGACTGAGCTGCCAGACAACCTCAAGGCTCTCTTCAGACCCATCGCTATGATGGTGCCTGACTACCGTAAGTCTTTTCGGTCAGTGCTAGTCAGTATAGTTACCTGCTGTAGCTGGCAATATTGCAACTATATAATGGCGGCATGTTATGTGGGAATACGGAACTGACAGTTGTGTCCCAGTAGTTGACTGGAGGACTTGTTGTTTGTTTGTTTGTTTAATGCCGCACTCAGCGATATTCCAGCTATATGGTGGCGGCATGTAAATAATCAAGTCTGGACCAGACAATCCTGTGATCAACATCTGGACCAGACAGTCAAGTGATCAACATCATGAGCATTGATCTACGCAATTAGGATACGATGACATGTGTCAACCACGTCAGTGAGCCTGACCACCCAGTCCTGTTAGTGACCTTTCCGATAACCATGGGTTGCTGAAGATCAGTTCTAACGCAGATCTTCAGGGGTACTTGGCAGGATGAACTGTGATTATTGGGGCTGATGACTTCAGCAAGGTCTCACACTTCGCCTGCCCAGTGACATGTTTGTCTGATGGCGGGGTAGGTTGGGGATCAGGGGGAAGTTGGGCATGGAAACCTAATACAATCTATCACACCCATGTAGTTGGGAGTCACTGAAAGTGTTGATAGAAATACTTTCCAAATATTGACTATTGATGATAACGATGGTAATAGTGATGATGACTGTTTCTCAGGTCTCATTGCTGAAGTCATTCTGTACTCCGAGGGCTTTGAGTCCTCCAAGAATCTGGCCCAGAAGATGGTGCAGATGTACAAGCTTTGCAGTGAGCAGCTCTCACAGCAGGACCACTACGACTTCGGTATGCGTGCCGTCAAGTCCGTGCTGGTCATGGCTGGTTCACTCAAACGTCAGAATCCAGACAAACATGAAGACGTGGTGCTCATCCGGGCTCTCCGAGACAGCAATCTGCCCAAGTTCTTAAAGCAGGATGCAGTCCTGTTCCGAGCCATCCTGTCCGACTTGTTCCCCGGCGTGGAGATCCCAGACCACGATTACGGCCGCCTCCAGACTGAGATCGAAAGCGTTCAGGCCAACATGAAGCTTCAGCATGTGGAGGCCCAAGTGAAAAAAGTCATCCAGTTCTATGAGACTATGCTGGTTCGACATGGAGTCATGCTGGTCGGACCTACTGGTGGTGGGAAAACAACCATCTACAAGGTAGGTTCGAGTTAGTGGTTCCTAAATATCTTTTGTGAAGTACGCTATCAGAAACAATATTTTCAGGATGTGACTGTTTGTTGAACTCTGATAATCTATGTAGTCTATCTGTCGATTGTTGTCTCTGCAGGGATCCTCAGGTAGAATATGTACAGTGGTTGTCAGGTTTCACCTTGATTTATAAAAAGTAAACCAAGAATAACTTGCCAGGCTCCATACAGGAAATATGATGGTGTTATAAAATAATGAAATGTGTAGTGTACTTTACTATTAGAATTGATAATTGCTTGTGTTCCAGGGTCCTGTTTCACACAGCGATCTTAGCGCTATGACTGTTGTAACTATTTGTTTAAGTATAGGAGATACAAGAGTCGTAGCGCTATGGTTGCTTTGTGAAACGAGGCCCAGGACCTTTATATTTCTTGTCAGGAAGTTGGTACAGTGAACAATATGCTGCTTCTCTTGGGATGCAATATGTTTTGTTTTATTTGATGTCCATTCTATACATTTATCCACACTGGACATACATGTATGGGTCAATTATTATCCTGCTGAGTGTCCAGTGCTCGATTGTCCTCCAATGACATAGTCTGTAGTTTCTGTCTTCATCTTGTCCAGACTTAGCTGGAATATTGCTGACTTTTGCATAAAACAACATTCAGTCTCTCACCCAGGGAGATAGTCTATGCATCTCTACAGAGGATATTGGGCTCTTTATTAATAAATTTTTATTGTTATTATCAAAGCTTCATCTTGTCTGGTTCTTCATTCCCTACAACAGAACAATGTATCTGTCTCCTGCTGGATTATTTCTAAAAGAGATGTCAAACTTACTCAGTCTCTAACTGATTGTCTTTTCTATAACTTTAGATATTTTACATGCTGGTATATGATTTGGTTTGGTCAGATATTGGCGACCACTCTGACGAACCTCCATGCTGAAGGGCTGTCCACTGAGAATGCATTCTATCAACCCGTCTACTGCCATCTGATGAATCCCAAGGCCATCTCCATGGAAGAGCTGTACGGAGGCATCGACAAGCTGACACTGGAGTGGCATGATGGGCCTCATGGGGCTGACTGTCAGGAAGACCGTGCAGGTACACTCACACTGCTTGTTACCATGGTTACATAGGGGCAGGGTGTCTCGCAACATGGGAAATTTTCTTTTAATATTTAGTATTGATGACATTTTGGTTGGTTTTAGCAGAGGTTACTAGAATATATTTTACCAGATATGGGCTTTAGAAGAGTGGCTGAAATAGCAGACTGCAGCTGGATATTCAGATTGCATTTGTGTGAAGTTGCTGGTTATTATTTAGGAGAGCTTTCTAGATGAAATAACTTTTTCTGGGCCTTCTCCTTGGACATGAGACTAGTTGTAGACTGTCAACTTGTTAAAGGTGGGGTGTGGTAGCCTAGTGGATGAAGTGTTTGCCTGTCGGACTGAAAGACGGGTTCAGTTTCCCACATAGGTACAAAGTGTGAAGCTCATTTCTGGTGTCCTTCAGATATTGGTGGAATATTGCTACATGTGGCGTCAAACCATATGACCCGTGAAGACCTGGGTTAGAATTGATCTTCAGTAACCCATGCTTGTCGTAAGAGGCGACTAACAGGATTGGGTGGTCAGACTCGCTGACTTGGTTGACACGTGTCATCGTATCCCAATTGCGTAGATCGATACTCATGCTGTTGATCAGTGGATTGTCTGGTCCAGACTCAATCATTTACAGACCACCACCATATAGCTGGAATGTTGCTAAGTGTGGCATAAAACTACTCACTCACTCACTTTACAATTCACTGTGCAGAGTTGTGTCCCTTGGTTTTGCCAGAATTCCATGATCAAGAATTCACATCCCAGTTTAGTCCTGAGACATTTCTAGGTTTGTTAGCACCATACTGTGCTCATGGGTTTCATGAATGGGTTTCATGACATGGGTTTCATGATGAATGGGTTTCATGCATGGGTTTCATGAATGGGACTCACTAACTATGATGGGAACTTGGAATGTGTAAGGTTCAGCTGTTTCAATGTATTCCCCAGGACACGTCTGAAGACCATCAGTGGATCGTGTGTGACGGTCCCGTGGATGCTCTGTGGATTGAGAACATGAACACTGTGTTGGATGACAACAAGATGCTGTGTCTGGCCAACAGTGAGAGGATCAAGTTCACACCCTTTATTCACATGTTGTTTGAAGTGCAGGATCTCGCAGTTGCCTCCCCTGCCACAGTCAGTCGGTCAGTCACAGCTCAGCTTTTCTATTTCACTTAAATGAAGTTGTGATGTATATTGTGAGCATGTGGGCCAGTTAAGGAGTATTGACACACACACATCATATTTTATGATAGTATATGAATCTCCCATCTGATTTCCAAAGGGATCTGTGATTTCTCTGCATCCGAATATTTTGGTAATGTGTGAGGACCTTGCTAAAGATCATTCTCAAAATGAATGAATATTTTGACAATTTACAAACAAGGACAACAAAAGGTACCTGAGCAACATATAGTTTTTTTCCCTCAGACTAAATTTTCCCTGTCCTGTTAGACAAATGTTCAATTAATTCCCAGGGCCTAGATTTTCGAAGCTCTCTTAGCGCTAAGATAGTTGTAACATTAACTTACGACTGTCTTAGGGCAAAGAGAGCTTCTAAAATCTTGGGCCAGCCCTTCTTACTGTATCCTATGTGCATGTCTATAATGGTGTAGCATGTTCCCAGGTGTGGTATGGTGTTTGTGGACCCAGAGGAGCTGCAGTGGCTGCCGTTTGTGAAGACATGGATGGAGAGCTGGTCACACAAGCTGAAGGAGGAGACAAGAGACTTCCTTTTAGAGCTCTTCACCAAATATGTTGCTGATGGGCTCAAGTTTGTCAACAAGAAATGTGCACAGACCATTGGTCAGGTAAGTCCAGTGTCCTACACGAGGTCATGTATCAAAGCTATCGTAGAGCTATGACTGTTGTAAGTCTATGTTCGAGTTTTGGAGGTACAGCAGCTGTAGCGCTACGATAGCTTTGTGAAAAGGCTCCCGGGACTGTGAACAGTGTTGTATATTCAACTGGCTTGATACAGGGCTCACTGATCCTCAGTTCACAAAATGTGACAGTTATCCCTCCTAGTGGATAATGCCTGACTCAAGCCTTCAAAATTTGCAGGCCCTTGTGACACCGTCAGTGGGAATCCCCCCTGGACGGATCCCTGTTACAATAACTTTCAGTTTCACTTCCTGTTTTTTTCAGCACTTTTTGGGAATGTGAAAACCGCGGTAACAAAGAAAAGTGAAATGACTGTGATGATCAGGAGCTGTTTGACTTGGCATAATCACTGTAGCTTACCAGTAACTTGATGTCATTCCACATTTAAAGTCTTGTACTAGTTATAATGACAGAATGAATCAGTGTGAAACTGTGTACAGTGTGGTCTATTTTGTTTTTATTGGTTTGACTTTAGTAAAATGGACCTGCAGATTTCAGCCAGGGCCTGTAGATGTTACAGCCTGCAGGAGGCAGCAGGTCCTGATGGCCAACTGGCACATTCAAGTATTACAAACACTTCCTGACTCCTGTTTCCCCAGGTTGACATCAGCAAGGTGACCACTCTGTGCAAGCTGCTGGAGGCCCTTCTGTTCCCCGCTAAAGGGGGACCGGACTTGGGCCAGGACCCCAATAAGCTCCACCCCATCATTTGCACCACCTTCGTGTTCTCCTACATCTGGGCCATCGGCGGCAACATCGTGGAGACATTCTGGGATGCCTTTGATACGTTTGCCAGGGGACAGTTTGAAGATAACGGTGATGCCAAGGTATGCACCTGACTTTTCAACAATGAGAAGGATTGATTTGGGCCAGGTTTTAATGATTTTTCTTTGGCTGGTTTACAAATCTTGTGACATAAAAAATGAAACTATAAATGAAAATGACTTTTCTGTTGGTGATTTTATACCATGATCACTAATTGTATACCATGATCACTAATTGTATAGAACCAAACAATTTATCTGAAGAATTAAGAGTTTCAGACTTATACTTGTATCTCTGACTGTCATTCCCAAAAGCATTAAAAGATGGTGCTTGCTGTTACCCTGCCTCTTGCTTTGACTTAAGGGATTTAAAACTTGTACTGATTGGTCTCAAAGTTAGTTATCTATGATAAAGCACAACGTTTCCTCTGTGGATTAGCTCTATAAAAACACTTTCCACCTGACCTGACCTCACTTGACCTTCCCTGACCTCGCTTGACCTGACCTGACCTTTCTTGACCTGACCTTACCTCAGTTGACCTGACCTGACCTCTCTTGACCTGACCTTACCTCACTTGACCTGACCTTACCTCTCTTGACCTGACCTTACCTCTCTTGACCTGACCTGACCTCTCTTGACCTGACCTTACCTCACTTGACCTGACCTGACCTCTCTTGACCTGACCTTGACCTCTCTGACCTTGACCTGACTTGACCTGACCTTACCTCTCTTGACCTGACCTTACCTCTCTTGACCTGACCTTACCTCACTTGACCTGACCTTACCTATCTTGACCTGGGCCCCGTTCCTCAAAGCGATTGTAGTGCTACGACTGTTGTAAGTCTATGTTAGAGTATGGGAGTTACGATCATCTTAACGCTACGATCGCTTTGAGGAACGGGGCCCTGACCTTACCTCTCTTGATCTGACCTTACCTCTCTTGACCTGACCTGACCTCACTTGACCTGACCTTACCTCACTTGACCTGACCTTACCTCTCTTGACCTGACCTTATCTCTCTTGACCTGACCTTTCCTCTCTTGGCCTGACCTTACCTCACTTGACCTGACCTTACCTATCTTGACCTGGGCCCCGTTCCTCAAAGCGGTCGTAGTGCTACGACTGTTGTAAGTCTATGTTAGAGTATGGGAGTTACGATCATCTTACGCGCTATGATCGCTTTGAGGAACGGGGCCCTGACCTTACCTCTCTTGACCTGACCTTACCTCTCTTGACCTGACTTTACCTCACTTGACCTGACCTTACCTCACTTGACCTGACCTTACCTCACTTGACCTGACCTTACCTCACTTGACCCCACCTCACCTCTGCTGTCTACAGCTGCCGTCTGGAGGAGATCTGTGGGGCTGCTACATGGACTTTGAGACCCGCCGCATGGACTCCTGGGAGAAGATCGTCCCTCAGTTCAAGTACAACAAGGAGATGTCCTTCTTTGAGATGCTGGTCCCCACTGTGGACACTGTCCGTTTCGGCTACCTGCTGGAGAAGCTGCTGTCAGTCAAGCGGTCAGTCCTCTACACAGGAGGGACAGGAGTTGGACAGGAGTTGGAAAGGTATATTCTAGGATATCTCATTATTATGATGGCAGGTTGTGTGTTGTTACTGCAAGTTTATATATCTTTGAGGCCCTATTTTTGAACAGCCACATTGGTAGTGCTTTGTCATGTCAGGTGTGACTTCATCAATACTACCTACTTCAGAGTGCACACATTTGGCCTGTGAACATTGATTGATTGGGCCTGGTCGATGCTTATGATCTCAATTCCTGGTCCAGACCGATTTTTACAGACCACTGCTATATAGCTGAAATATTGCATTAAACAACAAACCCCAAAATTGAAACCATCTTAACTCCTTATTAATGGGGAGTACGTGATAATAGCATTGACCACAAGTCTCAGACGAGTGAAAATCTGTTAGTTTTTTTCAAAATGTAGTCATGTGACTTAAAGTACTAATCTGAAATGAACTGTTGTCTTCTTGAACATAATTCATGCCTACCACTGCTTGGCTACCAATTGAATACCAGCAATTGTTTTGTTCATTTGAATTTTGAGTGTAACTAGAATTTTTCAAACAGACAAAGTTGTGTCTTCACAGCAGCTTGTGCTTTCATTTGATATTTGAAGGAAGGCAATAGAAAACTAGAAGGTATTGTCTATAGGTTTGATATTTGAAGGAAGGCAATAGAAAACTAGAAGGTATTGTCTATAGGGTTGATATTTGAAGGAAGGCAATAGAAAACTAGAAGGTATTGTCTATAGGGTTGATATTTGAAGGAAGGCAATAGAAAACTAGAAGGTATTGTCTATAGGTTTGATATTTGAAGGAAGGCAATAGAAAACTAGAAGGTATTGTCTATAGGTTTGATATTTGAAGGAAGGCAATAGAAAACTAGAAGGTATTGTCTATAGGTTTGATATTTGAAGGAAGGCAATAGAAAACTAGAAGGTATTGTCTATAGGTTTGATATTTGAAGGAAGGAAGGCAATAGAAAACTAGAAGGTATTGTCTATAGGTTTGATATTTGAAGGAAGGCAATAGAAAACTAGAAGGTATTGTCTATAGGTTTGATATTTGAAGGAAGGCAATAGAAAACTAGAAGGTATTGTCTATAGGTTTGATATTTGAAGGAAGGCAATAGAAAACTAGAAGGTATTGTCTATAGGTTTGATATTTGAAGGAAGGCAATAGAAAACTAGAAGGTATTGTCTATAGGTTTGATATTTGAAGGAAGGCAATAGAAAACTAGAAGGTATTGTCTATAGGGTTGATATTTGATATTTGAAGGAAGGCAATAGAAAACTAGAAGGTATTGTCTATAGGTTTGATATTTGAAGGAAGGCAATCGAAAACTAGAAGGTATTGTCTATAGGTTTGAATATATTAATAGATCTATGTGTCTTGTAGAGTAATGTTTTCATTAAGATTGGATAGATGAGGAGGAAGATTTAATGTAATACCTGCTAATTCTTGTTCAGTCTGTGATTGCCCGGGGCCTGCTGAACAACATCTCAGAACGCCAGAACTATGTTCCGGTGTTCATCAACTTCTCGGCCCAGACCAGCAGTGCCAGAACACAGGAGATGATTGAAGGGAAGCTGGAGAAGAGGAGGAAGACAGTCCTTGGTCAGTATATGTTGTGTGGAACAGAACATGCAGGATTACTTTTGTCCATTCTGTTGCAGAATTCATCTTTAAATATAAGCACTTTGAGATCATTTATATGTGAAGATGGAAATGTCACTCAGTTTAAACATAAACACTTTTAAACAGCTTTATCCTGCTCAGGTATAAATGTTGTTCAAAATAACAAAATAATGTCAAGATATTTTATGGATTAAACATGTAATTTCTCTTTTCACATTCAGGTCCCTTCATCAGGTGACTGCCAGTTCACCTGATCAACAAAATCCATGTATTACCTTACATACAACTCTAGTATAGTCCAGAAGTCACCCCTACAAAGAATACATCTCTAAAAGGGATAGTAATACTATAAAGGTAGAAGTTAACTTCCTCTGTATGTCCTGGAGACACTCAGTCCTAGCAATACTTACATTGTCATAGAACAGAATATGCAGGGTTACTTTTGTCCGTTCTGATGCAGAAATTAGCTTTAAATGGAAGGTGAAGGTGAAATGGGGTTTAGTATCATACTTGATAATATTTCACTCATATGACGATGTGCATGTGTGTATGCTTGTCCAGACTTAAGCTGGTTTTATAGTGCTAACTCACTGAGATACCATGCTGCAGTTTACCTTGAATACCCCACTCAGACACATTATACTGACTCCGAGCCAACCAGTCCTTCTTGGGCCCATTAGTGCCGAGCGCCAGGCAGGGACCAAGAAGAACCATATTTAACGTCTTTTGGTATGATGCGCCTGGGAATCGAACCCCGACCTTCCGCTCTCTGGGCGGATGCTCTTACCACTACACCATGGAGGTGGTTATCTTTAAATGGAAGCATTTTGAGATCATTTATATGTGGACTTCTAGACCTGGTGCTTATTAGAGGCACGGCACTTATTAGAGATCCGGCGCTTATCAGCAGAAATATGGTAATCTGGAAGTACATTGAAGAGAATTGTAAGAACACTGTCATCATTGTATTTCCAGGAGCCCCTATTGGCAAGCGTGTCGTCTTCTTCATTGATGACCTGAACATGCCCAAGTTGGACATGTATGGATCTCAGCCTCCCATTGAACTTCTCCGACAATATCAAGACTTCGGGGGATTCTACGACAGAGAGAAACTCTTCTGGAAAGACATACAAGTATGATCTAATTACATTCTTTCTTACTTTCTTAGGTACTTTGCCAGTTTTGTTCTGTCTGTTCAAAAGGTCAAGGTAATTGTGGGCCAAGATTTTCTCAAGTTCCATGCGTGAATGTAATGTTTTTCACAAATGTGACAAATGGGTTTTCAGTGATCTGTTTCTAACAATTCCCATGATCCTCTCTTACAGGATGTGACCTTGTCTGCTGCATGCGCGCCCCCTGGTGGTGGCCGTAACCTAGTGACTCCACGTCTTGTCCGCCACTTCAGCATGCTGACCATACCCCCACCGACCGAACACAGTCTCAAACAAATGTTCATGGTCAGTAGCAGATATTTAAGAGCCTCAATAAGTAATAATGAATGTGTATTTTATATGATATTGCAGATGTCGGCACCCTGTTAAGTTAGCATCATGGCACATCGTAAACTTACCCCAGTCAATGGATCAATCGATACTCAAATTACATTTTCAGCTTCCAACAAAGAAGTATACAACACAAGGCATTACTTAACTCTTGTTGATTAGTGACCCTGAGATAGTGGTACCGGTTCCTACGTGGAGGGTAAAATATGATTCTGAGGTTGTGTTTGAGGGTGTACAACCCAGTCTGACAGAGGTAAGGGGAAGTTACTCCTGTATGCATTCAGCACACCAGGGATGTTTTTTTTCACATTTATTAGACCAAATTTTTTTTTTCCAATTAGGATAACGAGTGATGCAATCTTGACATCCAAGAGGCAGTGGGGTAGCCTAGTTGTTAAAGCGTTCAGCTTGTCACGCTGAAGACCTGGGTTCAATTCCCTATATGGGTAAAACATTTGAAGTTGAATTCTGGTGTCCCCTGCCGTGTTATTGATGGAATATTGCTAAAAGCGGCGTAAAACCCAAATCACTCACTCACACACTTAACATAGGCAAGGTATCATCATATCTAACTTTACTAGTTATCAGGGCCGCGTTTCACAAAACTCTAGTAGCGCTACGACTATCGTAAGTCAATGTTACAGTATAGGAAGTCTGAATGCTACGAGAAAAGTTACGAGATCTTAGGCTTACGAGAGCTTTGTGAAATGGGGCCCAGGTTATTAAATGAGATTTGACTGCAAGAATGTAAGGTTTTGGCTTGTTTGCCCTCCAGGCCATTTTGACTGGGTTCTTCATGGACTTCCCGCATGCTGTGAGACAGGCCACCGAGTCAATCGTATCTGCCGCTGTTGAGATCTACGGCAGAATGAGCACAGATCTGCTGCCGACCCCTGCCAAGTCTCATTATGTGTTCAACCTCCGAGATCTGTCCAAATGCGTACAAGGTATGGCTCCGCTATATTACTTATCACTGAAGGGGGCAGGAGGTGCCGATCATATAAGGTACTGCAATGCATCCTGCAGAGTTGTCTCCCTTAGACATCTCAGGAACCAGAGTTCCGGATTTGTCCTGATTATGTTTCTAAGTATTTCCAGCATCATACCCATGATGGTGGGTTTCCTCAAAGAGATACACATCTAAGACCTGTGTCACTAAAGGCTTACCTCCCATATCAGGGGCTACATTTTCGAAGCTCTCTTAACGCTAAGATAGTCGTATGTTAATGTTAATGTATGGCACTTACGACTATCTTAGTGCTAAGAGAGCTTCGAAAATCTAGGCCCAGGCATTTATGTAACTGAAACATTGTTGAAAATGGTCAGTAAAACTCCTTCACTTTTAACTGTACATCCTTTGGTATGAATATGTTTGCAAATGTATATCCTTGACATAGGTGTTTAGCATACTTCAGGTTATTATTTCTGGGTTTAAACTTGATAGTTGATTGTAGATTCCTTGTTGAGCGAAGTCTGGGATGATTTACTTCCTTTCATGTTGAATGAAACAAAAAGTGCCTTGAAAATCCTTGAAAAGGCCTTGAATTTGTTGAGGGCAAGCCTGTACCGTCCTGCACGTGTTGTTGTAGGTATCTTGCAAGCAGACCCTGGAGTTATCCGTGACAATAAGCAAGTGTTCCGGCTGTTCTGTCACGAGTGCCAGCGTGTCTTCCATGATCGGCTCATCAACAATGAGGACAAGCTGTACTTTCACCAGATCATGTCGGAGATGGCCAGCAAGCACTTTGGAGAGGTCAGTCACCAGATTCATGCATGTAGAGCTCTCACTTTCCCCACAGATGTTCCACAGATATATTCTTCCCCAGTTTTCTTCGTAATTTATTACGTTTGTTTTCATGACTGAAAGAGATGTTGATATCTGAAGCAACACTGGATCTTTTGATTTTAATGTTTTGGTATTTCTGTATAATAAATATTTCTTTGGAAACATTACATTCAATTTTTCAGCTGATGGCAGCTAGTTATATTATTCTTGACCCTGTTCCACAGTCTATTGTCATGTCACTTGTCAGACAAATGTAACCCCCATACTTAGAACAGTAACATCCAGGGTGCGAAATAGCCACTGGCCTGCTAGCCCATGGCTAGTAAAATTCCAGTCAGGCCAGTAAATCTCCACAGTCACTACCTGACTGGCTAGTAAATTTTCATGAGATCATTTGTTTTTGATGGTATTGTAATCTTTTGCTTAGTTTCTACACTCAAATTTTGGGCTAGTGAATTAGTTTGTGGGCTAGTAGCGTACACCCATAGTTAGCCCAGCTGGCTAGCAAAATTTGGAAACTATTTCGCACACTGGTAACATCACTCTGTAGAACGGTTACTGTTCTTGATCAGAAAATCCATGAAAAGTGAAATCATTTTCTTTAGGAACTGGTATTATCTTTTCCTGTTGCCTTATTGGTTCAAGTCTTGAAGTAAAGGTGTATATGTGTATTGTTGAAATATATCTCTGGGTTGAATATCTTTGCCTTTGACAATTTCAGTAGTTTTTGGGTAATGATCTTGGCACAGTCATTTGGTTTGAGGATAACACGTGGACTGAGGTTTTAGACATATTTCTGAATGATATTGTATTTGATGATGTGATGATATTTTATTTTATGTTTCATTCCACAGAATATGGAGCCAAATTCGTTTATCACCCATCCTATAATATTTGGTAATTTCCTGAAAATGGACGCCAACCCTGATGATAAAATGTATGAAGAACTGAGCGACTTCACCAAACTAAAGAGTGTGTTACACGATGTAAGTTATGATATGACATAATATCGTTGAATATCATTGAGTTGAACTCTAATGTGGTGATTTTGCTGTCGTGTCAATCAATCATATTGTTTAGTTTTGTATAATGCTGACAGTTGTCATTTCACACATTTCTGTATAATGCAGTTGTATAATGCAGTATAATGCAGACTGTTGTCATATAACAGTTCTGACTATATAACAGTTCTGTATAATGCTGACTGTTGTCATATACACACATCTGTATATTACACAGTTCTGTATAATGCAGACTGTTGTCATATTACACAGTTCTGTATAATGCTGACTGTTGTCATATTACACAGTTCTGTATAATGCAGACTGTTGTCATATAACGGTTTTGTTTTATGCTGGCTGTTGTCATTCTACACAGTTTCTGTATAATGCAGACAGTTTTCATATAACACAGTTCTGTATAATGCTGACTGTTGTCTTAATCAGTTCTGTATAATGCAGACTGTTGTCATATTACACAGTTCTGTATATTGCAGACTGTTGTCATATTACACAGTTCTGTATAATGCAGACTGTTGTCATATTTACACACAGTTCTGTATAATGCAGACTGTTGTCATATAACAGTTCTGTATAATGCAGACTGTTGTCATATTTATGTTGTCATAATGCAGACTTGTCATGTCATATTACACATTTCTGTATAACAGACTGTTGTCATATTACACTGTTGCCAACTTTGTCATTTCACAGTTCTGTTGTCATAATACAGTTCTGTATAATGCATTTCATATTACACAGTTCTGTATAATGCAGACTGTTGTCATATTACAGTTCTGTATAATGCCGACTGTTGTCATATAACACAGTTCTGTATAATGCAGACTGTTATCATTTTACACAGTCCTGTTTAATGCTGGCATTTGGTGTAATACTGAACACTGGCAAAAGCCACCCTAAATCCCAGTTAGTTCAAGTCCATCACGTTGTCTGTCTTCAGTACCTGGATGACTTCAATATGCAATCTGCTAAGGAGATGAAGCTGGTGTTTTTCCTGGATGCCATCGAGCATGTGTCCCGTATTGTGAGGATGCTGCAGCAGGAGAGAGGCAACGCCCTGCTTGTTGGCGTTGGGGGGACAGGGAAACAGTCACTGACCAGGTATGTCTGTTCACTTGATGATGCATACTCATAAAACATTGTCACAGAAACAATCATGAATAGCTTGAAAATTATTATAATTAACAAACTGATAGCATTTTTAGTGTTATATTTTTAAGTTGAATGTTTTCACATTTCAGACTAGCTTCCCACATCTGTGGTTACAAGTGTTTCCAGATTGAGCTGAGTCGAGGATACGATTATTCAGCATTCCACGATGACATCAAGAAGCTGTACGACATGGCTGGTGTTCAAAATCTCAACACGGTTTTCCTTTTCACGGACACTCAGGTGTGAGACAAGGACAGTTACGGAGAGATGACTTAGCACTAATTACTGATTAATAAGCAGTTTTTCATTTTACTCATGTCACTGACTCATAAATGATTTATTTTGGTATCATAATAATACACTGTATTTATATTTGAGTATGTGTAACATAACAAATTGTGAGAAAAACATAACTTTGATGGTCATACTTGAAAGGTGTCCCTGAAATTGTGATAAAGACAGTAGTTTAAGTTTGATGCTGTGTAATCTCTATGCTCTGTCATCTCCATGCACTGTCATCTCTATGCTGTGTCATCTCCATGCTCTGTCATCTCTATGCTCTGTCATCTCTATGCTCTGTCATCTCCATGCTCTGTCATCCCCATGCAATGTCATCTCCATGCTCTGTCATCTCTATGCTCTGTCATCTCTATGCTCTGTCATCTCCATGCTCTGTCATCTCCATGCTCTGTCATCTCTATGCTCTGTCATCTCTATGCTCTATGCTGTGTCATCTCTATGCTGTCGTATGCTCTCATCTCCATGTCATCTCTATGCTCTGTCATCTCCATGCTCTGTCATCTCTCCTCTGTCATCTCTGCTCTGTCATGTCCATGCACTGTCATCTCCATGCTCTGTCATCTCCATGCTCTGTCATCTCTATGCTCTGTCATCCCCATGCACTGTCATCTCTATGCTCTGTCATCTCCATGCACTGTCATCTCTATGCTCTGTCATCTCCATGCTCTGTCATCTCTATGCTCTGTCATCTCCATGCTCTGTCATCTCCATGCTCTGTCATCTCCATGCTCTGTCATCTCCATGCTCTGTCATCTCCATGCTCTGTCATCTCCATGCTCTGTCATCTCCATGCTCTGTCATCTCCATGCTCTGTCATCTCCATGCTCTGTCATCTCCATGCTCTGTCATCTCTATGCTCTGTCATCTCTATGCTCTGTCATCCCATGCTCTGTCATCCCCATGCTCTGTCATCTCCATGCTCTGTCATCTCCATGCACTGTCATCTCTATGCTCTGTCATCTCAATGCTCTGTCATCTCTATGTGTCTCTGTCATCTCCATGCTCTGTCATCTCCATGCTCTGTCATCTCCATGCTCTGTCATCTCTATGCTCTGTCATCTCCATGCTCTGTCATCTCCATGCTCTGTCATCTCTATGCTCTGTCATCTCCATGCTCTGTCATCCCCATGCTCTGTCATCTCCATGCTCTGTCTGTCTGCAGATTGTTGTGGAGGAGTTCCTGGAAGACATCAACAACATTCTCAACTCGGGGGAGGTCCCAAACCTCTTTGAACCAGATGAATACGAGAAGCTGATCATTGGGTGCCGACCTGGAGCCAAGGAAGCTGGCATCCCCGAGGGCAACAGGGACGCCATCTATGAGTTCTGTATCAACCGAGTCAGGTAAGTTACATCTTCAAGTGGGACACAGTTTAGACTGCATGCTGCACAAGTCTGGAGTGGACTCCTGTGGCAGGATTCTAAGGCTGAAAAGGAACACAAAGTGCCTGTCATTTTTCTCAACCAACTGTACATGCTATTTTCAGTTTTTTTTAGTTCCACCTTGTTTTTGCACTATATTGGTTGTGTTTATATTTTATGGAGTAGTATTGTTTATTATGGATGAATCAGTTATTATCTACATTATATATAAGCTCATACTGACATTCTGCATAGTAACAGAAAACACTGACTTGGATTGGCCGAAACAGGAAGCACATTGTGATAAACCCCTCAATAAGCTGACTTGTACATTACTTTGAGTTATTCAAACAAGAACCTGCAGTTTGCAAATTCATTCACGAAAGTGGTAAATGTTCAAGACAGGCAACACTTTGTGCCATCATCCCGCATCATTCTGACACACAATCTTGTAAGTGGAGGGGCTGTGGGGTAGCGTAGTGGTTAAGGTGTTTGCTTGTCATGCCAAAGACCTGGGTTCGAATCCCCACATGGATAGAATGTGTGAAGCCCATTTCTGGTGTCCCCTGCCATGATATTGCTGGAATATTGCTAAAAGCAGTGTAAAATTAAAACTCACTCATTGTAAGTGGAATACGGTTCCAGGTGGCGTGATCCCATCTCACTCACTCACACAGGATTCTCTTGCACTTTCAGAAATAATCTGCATGTTGTTTTGTGCATGAGCCCTGTGGGGTCTGCGTTCAGATCACGGTGTCGCATGTTCCCATCGCTCGTCAACTGTTGCACTATTGACTGGTTTGTGGAGTGGCCTAGGGAAGCCCTACTGGGGGTGTCCACTTCCTTCTTTGAGAATGTGGAACTTGGAGCAGATGAACTCAAGGTCAGTGTCTTCATCAGCAGTGTGGACGTTTAATACTTTGTCATCTATGGTTTGTTCCCTCTTAGTTTCGCTACTATTGATGTGGAACACAGTCTTCAACAGCAGACCAATGATATTGATGTATCACATCAGAATCAGAAATAATCATACTAATATGTAATTTAAAATTTAAATTTTGACAAAATTTTGTATTGATTTTTGATGAGGCACAAATTTCCAGCAAAAGCTTCCTCTTTTATAAAAAAGCCTTCAAATGTCAGAGAGCATGGGACAAAAAAGTATAACATGAGAATCGCATTACCAAAGAAAGACAGTTTCAATTTTTTCCCGTAATATTTTGTTCAAATCTTCTCTATTATCCCCTGACAATGTGATTGGTTTCTGCCAACTTTTTGAGAAAATGTTCAGCAAAGGAGTCATTATGTTGTGACTTAATCAACATTGGATGCCAATAGCAGCACCTAGAGTGGCAGTCAATGAGTATGGTCAGATAGATGTACTCCCTGTGGGTGACCAGTAACCTATGCTTGGCTCAAAGACCAGTCTGCTTGAGGCTCAAAGACCAGTCTTGTGTCTCAAAGACCAGACTTGTGGTCAGGCCCTGTGATACGCGGGTGACCAGTAATCTAGGTGTGTCTCAAAGACCAGCCTTGTGGTCAGGCCCTGTGATACTCGGGTGACCAGTAATCTAGGTGTGTCTCAAAGACCAGCCTTGTGGTCAGGCCCTGTGATACGGCGGGTGTGATACGTGATCGGCGGGGTGACCAGTAATCTAGGTGTGTCTTGTGGTCAGGCCCTGTGATACACGGGTGACCAGACCTCAGCCAGCCTTGTGGTCAGGCCCTGTGATACGCGGGTGACCAGTAATCTAGGTGTGTCTCAAAGACCAGCCTTGTGGTCAGGCCCTGTGATACGCGGGTGACCAGTAACCTAGGTGTGTCTCAAAGACCAGCCTTGTGGTCAGGCCCTGTGATACTCGGGTGACCAGTAACCTAGGTGTGCTCAAAGACCAGCCTTGTGGTCAGGCCCTGTGATAATGGGTGACCAGTAATCCTCAAAGACCAGCCTTGTGGTCAGGCCCTGTGTGATGGCGGGTGTGATAAAGACCAGCCTTATGGTCAGGCCCTGACCAGTAACCTAGGTGTGTCTCAAAGACCAGCCAGCCCCTGTGTGGTCCAGTCATCTAGATGTGTCTCAAAGACCAGCCTTGTGGTCAGGCCCTGTGATACACGGGTGACCAGTAATCTAGGTGTGTCTCAAAGACCAGTCTTGTGGTCAGGCCCTGTGATGTGGTTGATTGCGTGTCAGTGTACCTCAGCAGTGTAGGATGATGCTTATAATATTGATCACTAGTTTATGTCTGGCCCTGACTGACATTTGCACAGTCCATCGTTGCTGGAGTGAGTGAGTTTATTTTTCGCCGCACTCAGCAATATTCCAGCTATATGGCAGCGGTCTGTAAATAACTGAGTCTGGACCAGACAATCCAGTGATCAATAGCATGAGCATCGATCTGCGCAACTGGGAACCGATGACATGTGTCAACCAATTCAGCGAGCCTGACCACCCGATCCTGTTAGTCGCCTCTTACGACAAGCATGGGTTACTGAAGATCAATATTCTAACCCTGGACCTTCACGGTTTCGTTGCTGGAATATTGCTGGAGGTTGTGTTGCACAACAAACAAAATGAGGCGAAACCTGGTTAAATACATGATACAGCCGGCATGTTACACATGTGACACAAAACAACACTCACTCAAGGAGAACACATTGAAGAGTCTTGGGTGAGTTGACAACCCCTGACGGCAGCTGTAATGTATTTGTCATCCATTTGTCTTATCCAGAGTAAAATCTCCGAGCTGTGTGTGGACATCCACATGAGCGTCTCCGACATGTCGGAGCGCTTCTACCAGGAACTGAAGCGCCGCTTCTACACCACTCCAACCAGCTACCTGGAACTCATCAACCTCTACCTCTCCATGCTCTCTGAGAAGACAAGGTAAGCAGGCTGCCAGTCTATGTATTCCCCTATTCTATCAATTGTATTTCTTTCATCAAAACCTGTTGGGAGTGGTAGGGTAGCCTAGTGGTTAAAGCGTTTGCTCGTCATGCCGAAGACCTGCTGTTGATGTTGCTGGAACATTGCTAACAGCAGTGTAAAACCATACTCACTCACTCACTACTCAAAACCTGTTATTCATTGTGTGCTATTATGCTCAGGTGGTAGTGGTTCCATGTTCGATTAGATCCCCAGTAGACTATGCTGGGCCCGTTCCTCAAAGCGATTGTAGCGCTAAGGTGATCGTAACTCCCATACTTTAACATAGACTTCCGACAGTGAAGTAGTAGTGCTAAGGTGATCGTAACTCCCATACTTTAACATAGACTTATGACTGTCGTAGCGCCACGATCGCTTTGAGGAACGGGGCCCTGGTCATGAGAGGCGACAGTGTATTGGGTGGTCAGCTTGAGGTCTTGATTCATTGCATGGCCATGTATATTTGCTCATAACGTCAATACCTTCATTGTCTGGTCCCAAATTAATTATTTACAGGCTACCATGATGTAATTTCAATATTGCTGAGTGCAGTGTTAAATAAAATGTATGCCTGATGTTTGGAACATTGCTCAGGTTGCCTAGCAGTGGTTGTCCTGGCACTGGTCACACAGTATGACTGGAAAACTGCTGCTTGGTGTAAAACAACATTCACTTGCTCACTAGTTATGATATTGTACAGAAAAGTCTTCCTTCATTGAAGGTATGGAGGTAGATAGGGCTCCAGCTGTTGGAGTGAAGGATCAGCCTAGGGAGGTGTACAAGGTTCTCATCAACAAGCTCCACATCCTACTGGTTGTCCTTTGATGATGAGAACACTGTCAACACGGGGGTCAGGAAATTGGGCTTAGTCATGATGTTCTTGGTGTCCCCAACTGTTATGATGCTACAAGCAATGTGAATTCCCAATGTTAAATTGTTTTATGAGTTTGCATGCATCTGTTAGAATCGTTATAATGTTACTTCAGGATTCTGAAGAATGCCAGAGACCGTGTGAAGAACGGCTTAGCCAAGCTTCTGGAGACCAATGTGCTGGTTGACAATATGAAGATAGAGCTGGTGGCCCTGGAGCCGGAGTTGAAGAAGAAGTCCGAGGACACCAACGCCCTGATGGAGAGACTTGTAGTTGACCAGGAGAAGGCTGATGCTGTGAGTACCAGTAGTCCTCATGGTGTCATGTCCTCAAGTCCTCCACTTAAATTACGTGTCCTCAATTCCTCATATCCCATGTCCTCCACTTACATTACATGTCCTCAGGTCCTCCACTTACATTACATGTCCTCAAATCCTCCACTTACATTACATGTCCTCAAATCCTCCACTTACATTACATGTCCTCAGGTCCTCCACTTACATTACATGTCCTCAAATCCTCCACTTACATTACATGTCCTCAAATCCTCCACTTACATGTCCTCAGGTCCTCCACTTACATTACATTCCTCCACATTACATGTCCTCAGGTCCTCCACTTACATTACATGTCCTCAGGTCCTCCACTTACATTACATGTCCTCAAATCCTCCACTTACATTACATGTCCTCAAATCCTCCACTTACATTACATGTCCTCAGGTCCTCCACTTACATTACATGTCCTCAGGTCCTCCACTTACATTACATGTCCTCACTTACATTACATGTCCTCCACCTCCACTTATTACATGTCCTCAGTCCTCAAATCCTCCACTTACATTACCCTCCACTTACATTACATGTCTCTTAGGTCCTCCACTTACATTACATGTCCTCAGGTCCTCCACTTACATTACATGTCCTCAAATCCTCCACTTACATTACATGTCCTCAAATCCTCCACTTACATTACATGTCCTCAAATCCTCCACTTACATTACATGTCCTCAAGTCCTCCACTTACATTACATGTCCTCAGGTCCTCCACTTACATTACATGTCCTCAGGTCCTCCACTTACATTACATGTCCTCAGGTCCTCCACTTACATTACATGTCCTCAGGTCCTCCACTTACATTACATGTCCTCAGGTCCTCCACTTACATTACATGTCCTCAAATCTTCATATCCCATGTCCTCGTATTTTGTAGTCATCAAGTTACATTCCACTCACTGGATTTTCCTTGTGAATATGCTGGAAATGTGGGAGATTTAAGCAATGCCTGGACGAAAATACAATCTCAGAAAACTTTTAAGTACAGGATACCCTTTGTTTCTAACTGTCATATATTGTTGCTCTTTCAATATTGCCGTTCACATGGTATCAGCTGTTGTCCATAGCAGTGAAACCCAGGAAATTTCTTTGTCAGTTCATGGTTGGTAGATGGGAAAAGTTGAAATATATCTTTTTGTTCTTCCATGTTCTCAATGTTTGCCATTTGCGACTTCAGGTGCGGAAGGTGGTGATGGAGGATGAGGCTGTTGCCAAGGTGAAGGCAGAGGAGACCCAGTCTATTGCTGATGATGCCCAGCGGGACCTGGATGAAGCCCTTCCTGCCCTGGAGGCAGCTGTCAAGGTCAGGGTCACACTGTCTCAAAATCAAATACAAACACCATAATGTTGATGTTGTTATTATTATGAGTGAAATGAGACAAAACATCTGAAAGGGGTAGTAACCACATTTTGTGTGTACATTAAAATCTTTAAAATTTTATACAGGCGCTGGATGCTCTGGACAAGAGTGACATTGCTGAGATCCGAGTGTTTACCAAACCTCCAGAGTTGGTACAGACGGTCATGGAGGCTGTGTGCATCCTGCTGGGACAGAAGTAAGTATCTCAAGGTCACTCCCTCTCACTGGAAATACCCACTTCTGGTGTCCCCCGCCGTGATATTGATGGAATATTGCTAACAGCTGCGTAAAACCAAACTCACTCACTCACTCACTGGAAATACATCCATGTATAACCTATGAGGATGCTGCGTTGCATTTAGTCCTAGACCATCAATGCTGATCATAAGAGGCGACACGATGGATAGGTGGACAGGCTTGTTGGCTTGTCTGCATGTCATCCTGTCCCCAGGAATCATTGCTTAAAGTATCAATCACTAGATAGTCGAGACCTGACTTGATATTTTACAGATTATTGTCATGTAGCTTGAATGTTGCTGACTGTTGTGTTATCAGCTAATGAACAATGTAGGTTTAGTGAGGACTTTGGATAACACCACTATAGACACTGGGGTGGTGTGATAGCCTAGTGCTTAAAGCATTCGCTCGTCCCACCAAAGACCTGGGTTCGATTCCCCACATGGGTACATTGTGTGAAGCCCATTTCTGGTAACCCCCCAGTGATATTGCTGGAATATTGCTAAAAGCGGCATAAAACTAAACTCACTTCATTTTGAGGTTCATGAACCATGTGGTGGACATGAAGACTCATCGACTTTGTGTTTGTTGTTGTCATGTAATGTTGTCAGGTGTTGTTTTTAATGGGCAGCATTCTCTAGTCCACAACATCCATCAAATGACATTCGTCATCCAACAATCAAGGGGTGGTCGGGTAGCCTAATGGTTAAAGCCTCCGCTCTTCACACTGAAGACCCTTGTTCCAGAAAGCCCATTTCTGGTGTCCCCTATCGCGATATTGCTGGAATATTGGTAAAAGCGGCATAAAACCATACTCTCTAACTCGCTCCAGCAATCAATGGTCTACTTCTGACGTGCATGATCTGTCAATAATTGACACTTATTGACATCAACACTCAACAAATGTCAACCAACATATAACAAATCCGATCAACAGCCATGTTATTCTACCAGTATTCACCTTTCCACAAGTAACATCCCACAATGACCTCCTCTCCTTCCAGAACTGACTGGGCTGCAGCTAAGTCTGTGCTTGGAGACTCCAACTTCCTGAAGAAACTGGGAGAGTACGACAAGGACAACATCCAGAATCAATGCTGAAGAAGCTCAAGAAGTATATCGAAAACCCAAAGTTTGTTCCCGAAGCTGTTGAGAAGGTGTCCAAGGTACGTTGCTGTAGAAATAAAACAATATCCCACATCTAATGTATTTTCTGTTTGATTTTGAGTTGTTTCAATGATACTGGTCAGTTATTATGGAACATTGTGAGTGTGAGTGTGTGTGTGTGTGTGTGTGTCACAAGATGGAGGCCGAGGAGTGGTTGCTGGGGTTGTCTAGGTGGAATCTGGTTGTATATCAGCAGGGTGTAATTTTGTATTTACAACCTGCAAATTATTGCTGCATTTTCAAAATGGCTGTGTGAGGGTGCCTTTTGTAACAGGTTACACCCGGTGCAGGTAACAATAAATCCTCCAACATTATAGCTGCCCTTGTGTGTTTTAATTGGGAAGTAAGTGACTGGAAGTAACAAGACTTGTTACAAGCATAAACATTTGTGGACTCATTAGTAAATTATTATTGTTTATTAATACATGTATAGGGTATTTATATAGCGTACATATCCACGCAACTACTACATGCTCAAGGCGCTGGTATTTTTTTCCCTCGTTCATTGGATGTCAATCTCAGCGGCACATTGTATTATCAATCTCAACTCCCGGGGGAGCATGCAATTCTTACACGTAATGCAAAATTGGAACAGAATCATTCATCATTATCATCATGGGATCTGGTTCTGTTGAAAGTATCTGATATTGAGTACTTGTTATGAAAATTGCTAAACAAGTATTGATGTTATGTTTTAGAACCAGTGACATTATTTTGTGATGCAACCACAATTTTGATGGTGCAGCCAAACCTATAAGCCAGGTTGCACTCATGAAATACACAATGCCATTTTAGAAAGTGGTCAAATGTAACATATGTTATATTTGGGATTACACTTTCTTAGTACAGATTCTAGTACTTTTGGGGTTGAGTCCCATCCGGGATTCGAACCCGCACCCTCAGAGTCAGGCACCTAATCGCCAGCACACAGTTGTCCGACTTCCATTTTTGTGGAAGCCGCGGTGGCTGAGCGGTCTATGCGTCTGACTTTGTGTGCTGGCGATTAGGTGCCTGACTCTGAGGGTGTGGGTTCAATCCCGGATGGGACTCAACCCAAAAAGTACTAGAATCTGTACTTTACTAAGAAAGTGTAATCCCAAATATAACATATGTTACAGGTTGCACTCAGTTCAGGTACTATGAAAACCCTGAAATCCTACTCTGATTAAGTTCTTGTGTGTTGTAATTATCAGTAAGAACAATGACGTACGTATCATGGTAATGACACAATACACTGTGTGACAGGCATGCAAGTCCATGGTGATGTGGGTGAGAGCGATGGACCTGTATGCTCACGTCTTCCGAACAGTCGAACCAAAGAAACAGAGGTAAGAGGTTTGCTGAGTTTCAAGTTCCCAGAGTGAGTGAGTGAGTGTGGATTTATGCTGCTTTTAGCAATATTCCAGCAATATCACGGCAGGGGACACCAGAAATGGGCTTCACACATTGTACCCATGTGGGGAATCAAACCCGGGTCTTTGGCATGACGAGCAAGCACTTTACCCACTAGGCTACCCACCGTCCCTCCAAGCAGGTAGAACTCCTGCACTTAATGGAGGTCTCAAATCAGTTCCACACATGAATAATATGAACAAGATCAAAATCAAACAGGTAATTCTTAAACATATCTCACGTCACGCACTTTCTCTTATTCTCATTGCAATATCAATGTACATCTGCGAACATGTTACACATCTTCAACTTTAATCTGAATTACCATTTGTTGACCAACCTAAAAAAATATAAATATATATCTATTTTGACCTTCCCATGTTAACTGATCAGACACATGTCTGTTAGCAATATATACTCTTAAAAAAAAGTAGGGGAACCTGAACTTTCATTCTGGACAGGAAGTATTTAAGCATTAACAAACTTTTCAAAGACAGACATCTTATGAACGCACCACCATTTCTCTTTATCACCACCCCTAAACACAACGTGACTGCTGCCATATAGCTGAAATATTGCTGAGTGCTGCGTAAAACTAAACTCACTCACTCAATCACTAAACACAACACATGGGATGTACGTGCAAAACACAGTACCCCCATACACGTGCATGGGGGGTCATTCTTAATTTTGAAGGTTTTCAAGAAGGTCGATAGATCACTGTAGACCATTAATTTTGACAATCATCTTGCATCACACAGTTGTTAGTGTTTGTTTCTAGCCGATTGTATTTGTTTGAAAATGAAAATTGTACACATGCAAATTTCACGTCATGCACCAATCATCTTTTAAGAGCGATTATTGTACAAACAACTATGGTCATAAGGAAGTGCAAGTGGTGATGCACTCTTAAAATATTCATTATTATCATATGAACATCGATTGACTCCGACATATCTCCCAATTTTTTCAATTGTAAGTTTTATAATGAAGCTCCCCTACATTTTTTTAAGAGTATAATATGAAAAACATATCAGTTCTTTGATACTCACTTGTCATCTTCCAGACTGGCATCTGCACAAGGAGAGCTTGACGTGGTGATGAAGTTGCTGAGGGAGAAGCAGGACAAGCTTGCGGACGTTGAGGCAAAGATCGCACAACTGCAGAAGTCGTATGACGACAGTGTCGCCTCGAAACAGAAACTGGAGCGCAACATTGCAACGACAGGTGCACGACTTAAGCGTGCATCCAAACTAACATCAGCTCTTGCAGATGAACAGATTAGGTGGGAACAAAGTGTCAAGGTAAGAACCTTTGAACTCTTACAAGTGCTTTCTGTTGCTTGGTTAGTTTTGTAGGTCCAATGGGGATTGGATGGCACAATGGCTGCAAGTTGTGGATAGAACTTGGTTCTCTACTTCCATATCATATATTGCCCAGTGTCTTGTTGTGATATAGTTAAGAACCTGTTGGTTTTGTATACAAAAGCAATATTTCAGCTCAGTCAGTGTGATGTTGGAGGATAGTCAGTAGTATCTTCATTGATGAAGGGATAATGGAGGACGATATTTTGGATTATTTGGGACAAATCTCTGACATGATGTCATGCATTTTACAAACCACGAAGTGACTGTTACCAAAATAGTTTCACAGATATCCCTACGCCTTGTATCTTGTAATTGATTGAGACTCTGAAGTCTATGGTGCGCTTAGTGCTGGAATGTGCAATCAGCTTGAACTGACTACGTGGTCTGGCTGTGCTGTTGTTAGTTCAAACCCAGCCACCTTGACCGGAGTATCCCGGTCTTATCAATAGTTGCCTGCACTAGGGACTCGTGAGCTCTTAGCATTTCAGAAATAATTGATTAAAAATAACTTACAACGACAGAAATTATTTAAACTGGCCCATAGGTCCCCAGATTTCTCTGTTAATGCGTTTTAATCAAGAGGCATCTTTCAAGGACAGCATCCACTTCCCTGACACTCAATTTCAAAAGGTACAATTGGAGATTATCTAAAAACGATGTTTAGACAATATAGATTTTTACAAGATTTTACTTTTCCATCCCTTTAGATCGTGATAATTTATGATAACTTTTGTTGTTTTCCAGCAATTCAACATTGAAATCGGCAACGTGACTGGTGATGTGTTTATCTCTGCTGCCTGTGTGGCGTACTATGGAGCTTTCACCAGTGTGTATCGTCAGGAGCTGGTCAATCACTGGATTGACAAGTGCAAGGAGCTCGAGATACCGGTCACAGATGGCATGACACTGGAGAAGGTTCTCGCTGACCCCTTTGAGATCAGGCAATGGAACTCTGATGGCCTACCTCGAGATCAGGTGTCCACGGAGAATGCCATCTTGGTGACACGAGGTCGAAGGTGGCCCCTCATGATTGATCCGCAAGAACAGGTATTTGACACTTTCAGGAATTTAGAAAGCAGATTTAGTTATATGTTATTTCAAAGAGATTCTTTGACAGAAAAGTGCCAGGAACTATTACGTCCACTTCTTTATACTCAGTATATATTTCAGTATAACTGGTGATGTCATTAACTACACTACAAGATACATTCAAGAGGTATTCATAAGATATGGGCACTGGGGTAGTGAAGTAGGTACAGCGGTCGCTTGTCAGTATCTTTATCAAAACATACATGTATGTAAAACTGTATGAAAAATTATAAAGAAACTATCTTTGCATTTCCAGGCCAACCGATGGGTGAGGAACCGTGAGGCTAAGAATGGCCTGAAGGTCATTAAGCTGACTGATGGTCAGTTCCTCCGGACCCTGGAGAACTGTATCCGGATCGGAATGCCTGTCCTTCTGGAAGACCTCGGAGAGAGTCTGGATCCCGCCCTGGAGCCTGTGCTGCTCAAACAGACATTCATGTCGGTAGGTGATCGTCTATACCTCTGTGGGCTGTAGTTGTTACAGTTCTTGGCAAATAATACGATAAAAGATAGTTAATATTTTTAGGACTCTATGATTTCATAGAAAAATACAGGACATTTTTATGAGGAAGTGCTGAGCTTTGGATACTCATTTACTAAAAATGATCCCGTATTAAACAGTGCTATGATTTTCATGAAAGCAGAGATGTTTTTTGTACAACTGAAAGTGTGATGTTTTGTTGTGCAGGGAGGGCGTCTTCTGATTCGATTGGGTGACAGTGACATAGACTATGATCGTAACTTCCGTTTCTACATGACAACGAAGCTGGCAAACCCCCACTATCTGCCCGAGGTTTGCATCAAAGTAACCATCATCAACTTCACTGTCACTAAGTCTGGCTTAGAAGACCAGCTTCTCAGGTAGGTCAAGGTCATCATGACATGCAGGTCAAGGTCATGACCTATAAGTCAGGGTGACATTTATCCTTTGAGTGTAAATATTTGTTTTTGGATCCCTTCACTACAGATTGTTTAGTTAAAATCTGTTCAGTCACTGATGATTTGTAAAACATGTCACACTGGGACTCTAGTAAGAGAGTTGAAACAGAAAACTTGTTTAAAATTATACCATACGAAATAGGATTTTGATGTTAATGAAATTAATAGATATCATTCATAGACAGAAAGAACAATTAATTAACAAATATAGTGTGATATTTTTGTACATTTTAGTGATGTTGTACGCCTGGAGAGGCCCGATCTGGAGGAACAGCGTAACCAGCTGATTGTTCGGATCAATGCAGACAAGAACCAGTTGAAGGCCATTGAAGACAGGATCCTCAAGCTGCTGTTTGAGTCTGAGGGCAACATCCTGGATAATGAAGAACTCATCAACACCCTCAATGAGTCCAAGGTGAGGCATACATTTAAAAGTCATTCCTGTGACAACTAAATTCATGGTTTGCACTTGTTACGACTGACAACCACCACTGTGGTATGGATTCCAGACTACAGTGACAGAAACTACCAGTCGTCAGATCGCCAAATGTGACCGAATGTGTCTTGGGGCGTGTAAGTTTGAAAAAAATGTGAACGTTTGTCGCCAGTTTAATAATTACTAGAATTATTTATAGATGTCAAATAAAATTTATGTAAAATTATATCATTCTTAAAATGATTTTATCACTTATCAATTGCATATATAAATCGCGAGTACCTTACACAACAGAAAACGTGCAAGTTGTTCATGCTATTGCTAGATTTACTTCCGGGTCAACAATGACATAAGCCTTGCATTTGATTGGCTTAGATGATGTACAGTAGCCAGTGAGAACACATCTTGTTTATACGACCCACTAGGTCCTCAATAACCTAACGTATATTACCGTAGATAAGCCGACCCCATAGATAAGCCGACCCCCTAGCTTGACCCTTGAAATGATATGTTATGTCAAAATGGTATGTTTCGTACATAAGCCTACCCCCCGCGATGAGTCGTGGCCAACTCACACCACTAGACATCTGGCAGTCGGATGTAAAACAGAGACTGAATGGTCAAGTGACCAGCTTTGCTTACTTAATTATGGGACAATTTACGCTGATGATGAGGACCATTATGAAAAATTTATCTGGTCCAGATTGTTTTCGGTTTAGTGTCCTGTGTTCCTGACAGTCAAAGTGTCTAATTATGGTGTAGGTGACTTCAGGGGTTTGACCTGTGTTCCTGACACTCAAAGTGTCTAGGACCATTATGAAAAATTTATCTGGTCCAAAGATATGTTTTGTGTAGGTGACTTCAGGGGTGTAGTGACCTGTGTTCCTGACAGTCAAAGTGTCTATATACGTGTTTGTGTAGGTGACTTCAGGGGTGTAGTGACCTGTGTTCCTGACAGTCAAAGTGTCTATATACGTGTTTGTGTAGGTGACTTCAGGGGTGTAGTGACCTGTGTTCCTGACAGTCAAAGTGTCTATATACGTGTTTGTGTAGGTGACTTCAGGGGTGTAGTGACCTGTGTTCCTGACAGTCAAAGTGTCTATATACGTGTTTGTGTAGGTGACTTCAGGGGTGTAGTGACCTGTGTTCCTGACAGTCAAAGTGTCTATATACGTGTTTGTGTAGGTGACTTCAGGGGTGATCACACAACGACTTCGGGAGGCGGAGAAGACGGAGGAGATGATCACAACTGCTCGTGAGAAGTACAGGACTGTAGCCGAACGAGGTTCTGTCATGTACTTTGTCGTAGCTGACATGGGCAACGTGGACCCCATGTACCAGTTCTCACTGAAATACTTCAAACAGGTAATCACGTGTATTCTACCAGCACATGGAGGACTGAATGGTCAGCAAGCTGTATCAGTTTGTTGTTAGTCCATGACAAGCTCATCACAGATTTAAATTATGTATAACTTGTTTTGTACACCCACCAAGTAGGCAGCTACACTTTATAGACATTGGACCCGTGAAGATACGGGTTAGAATTGATCTTCAGTAACCCATGCTTGTCTAATGGGATCAGGTGGTCAGGCTCGCTGACTTGGTTGACACATGCAATCGTCATCGTATCCCAATTGCGTAGATTGATGCTTATGATGTTGATCACTGGATTGACTCAATTATTTACAGACTGCCACCATATAGCTAAAATATTGCTGAGTGCGTCATAAAACTAAACTCGCAAACTTATAGAGATTGCTCATTAACTTCTGTCAGTTCAAGGAAATAACTAGTGAGATATGTGTTCCAGCTGTTCAATGCTACAATTGAAACAAGCGAGAAGAGTGACAACCTGGATACCCGTCTGAAAATCTGCCTGGACCAGACCACGATGTGCATCTACAAGAACGTCGCCAGGTATGCTCTGTCCCTCATGTCAGTCTCTAACATCTGTGCAGTTACATCAGCTCTGGCCAACATTTGATGGACTCTTAGTGGACATGCATGGCCAAGATATAGCTTAAAGTAACATTTTATCACATGCTTTGTATAGTCTCAGGCTACTGCACACGAGTTCTCCTCTGACAGAAGTAAATACATATGTAAGTGGTATTACTTTCATCCATCCGTCCACCCATCCATCCATCATCCATCCATCCATCCATCCATCCATCCATCCATCCATCCCATCCATCTACCCATCCATCCATCCTTGTTCTTCTGTGTTTCTGTAGAGCTCTGTTTGAGAAGGAAAAGCTGGTGTTCTCCTTCATGTTGTGTGGTGAGATCCTCAAGACTGCAAAGATCATCTCTGTAGCTGGGTGGAACTTCTTCCTGCGTGGTGCTGCTGGCATGGACCGGGTGAGTTTACACAGCTGTCTCTACCTACAGCTGCAGTGTTCTGTTCATGGACAGGGTGAGTTTACACAGCTGTCTCTACCTACAGCTGCAGTGTTCTGTTCATGGACAGGGTGAGTTTACACAGCTGTCTACCTGCAGCTGCAGTGTTCTGTTCATGGACAGGGTGAGTTTACACAGCTGTCTCTACCTACAGCTGCACTGTTCTGTTCATGGACAGGGTGAGTTTACACAGCTGTCTCTACCTGCAGCTGCAGTGTTCTGTTCATGGACAGGGTGAGTTTACACAGCTGTCTCTACCTGCAGCTGCAGTGTTCTGTTCATGGACAGGGTGAGTTTACACAGCTGTCTCTACCTGCAGCTGCACTGTTCTGTTCATGGACAGGGTGAGTTTACACAGCTGTCTCTACCTGCAGCTGCAGTGTTCTGTTCATGGACAGGGGACCGGAGACCTACCACTGTTGTGTCTCTGTCTGTGGCATCATAGGCCAGATTTACCCTGATTCCGATCTTTGATTTGTCAAAGCTGTTCGAAGCCTTTAAAGCCTGTCAAAGCTGTTAAAAGCTGTACAAAGTTGTTCAAAGCCATTCAAACCGATATGAAACTCGATCACTCAATAAAATTTATAGTCCTAACTATTATTGCTGAAAAATCTATTTAACAGATTGCTCTAACTGTCTAATTTGATGTATTTATGCCTTTTTTGTATTTCCATGACTTTTCCTCATGCTATACTACAGGTTTTAACAGTGTTAATGAAGTCTTTCATTTCAACTCACTGAGAGGTAATCACTCTCACTGCTGATCGACTACACTATCAATGTGTTCTGGGGCCCAATCCGCAATGCTTTAATAGCATTACGTCATTCGTGAGCCAATGATGTAGTATAGATTTACGATAAGTCTTAACGTTACGATTGGAACCCTGGTCTTTATCCAGTGTAACAGTATGTACACGATGTTGATGGCAGTGTTGATGTTACAGCAACGCCCTCCGAAGCCAGACAAGCCGTGGTTGAGTCAGACTGTGTGGAACACAGCCTACGACCTCAGTGAGACTGTGCCAGCATTCCGAGGTCTGCACACTGACCTCATCAAGACGCCCGTGTGGGTCAAACTCGGCAGCATTGAGGTAGGTGTGACAGAATCTGTGTGTGGACAGTGGTCAAGTGCAACTACCTGACCCACAGTCCATTTTACTGACCAATTTTGGACTTGATGTTAACATTCTGTTGTAACTTTCTTGGTTCAGGTGGTCTGACAGGATTTAGATTTTGTTTTATCATGATAGCATGAGGCAATGCTCCTAATATCAACCATTGGTTTACTGGTTCATTTGTACCAGACTTGATCATTTACATGCTGGCTCTTTCAGGCAGTTTGTTTAAATGGAAAAATAGAACATAATACTGTTTTTTCTTGTGTTTAGTGCAAACGTTTTTGACCCCACCTTCAAATCTGTGTGGAGGAGGTGCACATAATGCATGCATACAATGAGTTTGTATTTTTTCCACAACACAAAGACATTGGTGTGAGCATGTAACATCATCAGTAAAATGCCTAACATTTTTAATTACCTACTACGAAGGGCGAAAATATTGGGGGTCATATTTTTCATACAATGCCACAGGGCAAAATATCACTTTGTCATGGTGACGTGACGTCGTGAACAATGCTATGATGGCATGTTTCTTCTATGACGTTGCGTTCTACATGCAGTGATGGCAGGTAGCCAGCCTATGTGTGAAAGTAGATTTGGGTTTATTTTCCTGAATTTGACGACTTCGGGAATAAACAGAATATTATGTTTGTGCCCATATCATACTATGTTAATGACACTCGTGTCTAAATTTCGGTATATCCCTCGCTCTTGCTTGGGAAATACCAACATTTAGTCACGCGTGTCGTAAACATATAATATCATCTATATACTGCTGTTTATCATGGCCCAATCTCCAAGTGTCATGTATGCGTCCTAATTCCCTCATCCTTTGTGCAGATACATCTTAACCCAGAGACAAATGAAGACTATGAGCCCCTCCCCGATGAGCCAGCTCCCCCCTCCCACCATCCAGGAAGGGCAGGAAGAGGCTCAAGCTGATGATGGCAAGGTCAAAGGTCACTGGAACATCAGGCTCACTAGCTTCCAGAAGCTCACCTTCATCAAGGCCTTCCGAGAAGAAAAGGTAAGTGTTTTATTGGTGTTCTTGGAGGGTACCTTTATGGTTTGTCTTATACTTGATACTCTGCACAGTTACGAGTATGTTCTTTGTATATGAAACATAGCAGTAAGGGACCATTCATAATTTATGGCTAGGGGTGACGATAATTTATGAAGAAGCATGTACAATGTGAATGACCCCCACCTAATTTTACGTACAAAGTAAGTGACCACCCTGCATATCATGTACAAAATCAATTAAGCCCCCACCCTTCCCCCATAATAATTTTTAATATATTTTAAGTAATATTTTTACGTACAAAATTGATGATCCCTCCAACCGCCCCAGAACAAATGGGTGACCCCCCTTAAAATCATCATCACAAACAGTAAATTATGAACGGTCTGTTATGATTAGGAATGTGTAAAGAGATTCAAATTTACATCAGTGAACAGACAGCATCTAAACCCATATCGCTTACACTGTGCAATAAAAGTCTGATAATTTCATGAACAAACTGTTGAAGACATATTTTCTATGTTGGAAATATGCTTTGTTCACAGACAGTGTTTGCAATCACCGATTTTGTCCGAGAGAATCTGGGTCAACAGTTTGTGGAGAGTCCGCCAGTGGGTCTGCCGGAACTCTACGATGACATGAACAAAGTTACCCCCCTTGTGTTTGTCCTCAGCACTGGCTCCGATCCCATGGGAGCCTTCCTCCGATTTGCCAAGGACAGAGGGTACACAGACAAGTGAGTGTGGGGATAGGATGGTTGCAGAAATATCACAGAACCTGCTGCTCTGTATGATTCAAGTAGGCGATAACAACAGGGATGGAAAGTTTGGTTGTGGGCCAAATCATGTGCCAAGTTTATGTGGTTCTGTGGTCAATATGTGGTTCGGTGATGATTTGTTTGTTTGTTTGTTCTTTAACACCACAGATTGCAATATTCCAGCTATGTGAAGGTGGTCTGTTAATAATTGAGTCTGGATCACACAATCCAGTGATCAATAGTATGAGCATCGATCTATGCAATTGGGATACGGTAACGTGTCAACCAAGTCAGTGAGCCTGACCACCTGACCGTTAGTCACCTCCTACTACAAGCATTGGTTACTGGAGTCTGGATCGCACAATCCAGTGATCAATAGTATGAGCATCGATCTATGCAATTGAGATATGATAACGTGTCAACCAAGTCAGTGAGCCTGACCACCTGACCGTTAGTCATCTCCTACTACAAGCATGTGTTGCTGAAGACTAAGTCTAGCCTGGATGTCCACAGGCCTATTTAGTGATGGAGATGTATAAACCACATCCTGCTCAGTAATGAATAGTGGTGTGACGATTCATCGATACGTATCGATACATCGATCCATGGGCCACCGATACAGTGAATCAGTACTAGTGTTTGGAATTGGTTAAAATCTCATAATTGATGATTGGTTCATTACAACCGATCAATCATTGAAAATAATTGGTTAGCGTCATTTATCAAATGTTCCTGTTATCTTTGTTAATGCACACACAAAAAATAAAGAAAAAACATGCAGTAATTTGGGTTTTTTGCAAATTGCACAAAATCCATTGGCAAATTTCGCATATTTAAAGGATGATTAGCATGTTAGGAACACAGATTTCCTGGATTCTTTAAGATAAATTCAATCATGACTTGGAACGACCTTGTAGTGCTTATGAAATGTAAATTTAATGACACAGACAAAACCAACCTTGTGTAAAATATTGTTGATGCAAACAAGTGTTCCAAAATTGGTTGTGTTCGATTATGAGAAAACACAATCGATTGCTTGGTGGTTTAGGCACTGCGATCACCAATCTTCGATTATTTCAATTAATCGGACCACCACTTATCGATACAAAGGTTTACATTGTCATATATCCTGATACGATACTTCAAATGGGCCATGATACATCGATGTTTGTCTTAGAATATTGCTGAATCGCGGTATCTGTCAAGAAAAACGACTTACTTTTGTTTGATGGTTAAAATATATGCATACTATTTTCACTTCATAAGTAAACGTTTTTACGGAAATTCTTGCGTCTAGATCTGTGTCAGACATAGCGCTCGCATGTTATTAACATTCATTAAGTCCTTGATTAAACTTAATTTTCTTGTTTCGGAATGAACATTGAACAACGCTGGCGGAATTTGTCGAAATACTTTAAAATTGGTTTTGTTTTGATCTTAGGGTGTTTTATAGTTGGTATTTGAATAATGTGTTTATTGGTTGGATAAACTGATACAGTTAAATGACATGGTGCACATGTAGTTATGGTCAAGTATATTCATGTATGAAACACATCTTCATTACTAGTGCTGGTATTGGCATACAACCTGAGATACGATACATCACAATACTAAAATTGTAGTCACGATGATATATTGTAAAAGTATTGTGCACTTAAGCTGCGATACGATACGAATCCCGATATAAGGGTGGCGATCGATACGAATCCCGATATAAGGGTGGCGATACGATACGAATCCTGATATAAGGGTGGCATAAATACGATCAATCCCGATATAAGATGGCGATCAGGATACGAATCCCGATATAAGGGTGGCGATACGATACGAATCCCGATATAAGGGTGGCGATACGATCCGGATCCCGATATAAGGGTGGCGATACGATACGAATCCCGATATAAGGGTGGCGATACGATACGGATCCCGATATAAGGGTGGCGATACGATACGTAGCACAATGCTAATATCTTTAATTTGACACATATCGTCAGAATATGTTGCAGCAACAAATAATCAGAGGTAGCTCCATCACAACCTTTGTAAGACTCGAGCAATTTGTCTTCTTTGTATTGCAGGATCCAGTCAATTTCTCTAGGTCAAGGTCAGGGCCCGGTGGCTGAAAAATTGATTGCAAATGCAGTGAAGAGTGGAGAATGGGTGTTCCTTCAGGTGACAATCTCTCCTTTATCTTTATCATTGCTGATGTAATCTACCTGGATGTGGTAGGATTCAATCTGATGGTCAGGCTCCAGTGTAGATCCAGGGCTCCCTAGTGCCCCTTGCTTGTTTTATGAACTAGACATAATTCATGGATGAATGTCCTTACAGTGTTCACGAATGGTGTTTCAAAGTAACAGGACATTGGGTCCTGTAAGCTTCAGATGTCTGTCTGACCCACTGAAAATTCACAGGACCCATAGAATAAAAATTAATCACACATTTAACATTTCTTATATCATAATTGGCTTTGAAATTATTAACAAACGTAAGATTTATAGACACCAAACAAGTGTGACACAAATAACAACTTCAGTCAAATCATTGTGAAATATACAGTCAGACACTGGGGCCGGCGGGTTGTAGACTTCCATTGGACCGTCGGCGAATCTGCCAGATTTGTCCGAGGGTCCGACGCTATTCGTGAACACTGTCCTTATGCCCAGCGGCATGGAAGTGTGTCATTCTGTGAACCATTAACTTGCCTGCAAGGATTTCATGTTTGGCGGGCCATCAGACAACATCCACTCACTTATTGTATGTGTATGTTAGGAAATTTGGGCGAATATCTTCGTACAGTTGATACCTCTTCTTTTATTATGTTTCCAAGGTAGCTGTTGCAAGTTGAGTCTATCATTTTGTGACACTAAGGTATGATGTTTCATGTTCCATGTTCCATGTTTCATGTTTTGCTTGTCCTCGTCTCCAGAACTGTCATTTGGCTGCATCCTGGATGTTGAGGATGGAGTCTACGGTGAAGGACCTGACCGAGAAACCCAATGACATCCATGAAGACTACCGCCTGTTCCTCAGCTCCATGCCGGCCAAACACTTCCCCGTGTCCGTGCTGCAGAACAGTGTCAAGGTCACTAACGAGCCCCCAAAAGGTCTAAGGGCAAATGTCAGAAGGGCATTCACTGACATCACAACCAACTTCTTTGAGGAGAACAGTAAGTTCATTGAGAGCGAGTTGTTTCACAGCAGGGAACGACAAGAATGTACTAGCCTAACTGTACCAGTACCTGCAATATAATCTGGGTCTTTGTCATGTGGCAAGATGTCATGAGAAAAAAGCTAAGTAAGAGATTAAGTTACTGAATGCCAGTAACTAATTTTGTTATCCATAGTACTTAGATGACCTTATCAGAAAAGTAGCAAAGAATTATTCATTCAACTGACTCATTTGGATATAATTCAGTTTGTTGTGCAAATCCTTTGAGTTTCTGGATGAAAACTGACTGATTGGCTAACAATCCAGTTGATTGTATTTGCCTCCCAAATATAGGGGTTGGAAGTCGAGGGCCAGGGGTTAGGAGTCAAAGGTCAGGGATTGGGAGTCAAAGGGGGTCAAGGGTTAACACTGATTCATGGCTGCATGTTGCTGCGTGTTTCAGTTCTGGGCACAGATTGGAGGAAGATGATATTTGGCTTGTGCTTCTTCCATGCCATCATCCAGGAGAGGAAGAAGTTTGGTCCACTCGGCTGGAACATCAAGGTCAGTCATTTTTTAGAGTGAGTGAGTGAGTTTAGTTTTACACTGCACTCAGCAATATTCCAGCTATATGGCGGCGGTCTGAAAATAATCGAGTCTGGACCAGACAATCTAGGGATCAACAGCATGAACATCGATCTACGGAACTGGGATACCCGATGACAAGTGTCAACCAAGTCAGCTAGCCTGACCACCCGATCCCGTTAGTCGCCTCTTACGACAAGCATGGGTTACTGAAGATCAATCCTAACCCGGACCTTCACGGGTCATCTTTTGGAGACACCCTGCAGCAACATTTTGTCTGTATGTGTTCCTTTCAAGTTTATTTGGCTCTTCATTTCATATGGCTGTTCATCAGTACCGAAAACTGAATGAGCCGAATATAATACAATTAATAAAGAACGTGTCAACTCAAATCTGTTTTACAAATAAGTCTCATCCAATGAATATAATTAGATTTATAACTGTTACAACTGATTGCTCCTGTAATGACTCAGCAGCTGCGATCCTGATGGACTCACTGTTTGAGGGATTTGGAAGGTGTATACACAAATCATGGAATCTATAGAGCTAGTGTTGATCCATCAACTAACATAAATACTTTAGTTGAGTGGGCAGTAAGGTAGCCTCGTGGTTAAAGTGGTCGCCGTCACACAAAGACCCAGGTTCGATTCCCCACATGGGTACAATGTGTGAACCCATTTCTGGTGTCCCCCGCCGTGATATTGCTGGAATATTGCTAAAAATGGCACACATACACTTTAGTTGATTAAGCGGACTTGTCTCATATAGACATAAGCATGATGACCCTTTTTAGTAATCAGTCCTTTCTATTTTTAGTACACTCCTCATGTTTTGGTGTATTTCAGTACGAGTTTAACGACAGCGACAGGGAGTGTGCTCTGCTCAACCTGCAGATGTTCTGTTCTGATGGTGCTATTCCCTGGGACACTCTCATCTACATTACAGGGGAGGTAAGTCATGTTCAGCTGAATACTCAGTCTTTCTGTTGGTCGGTGATAGATTCCAGAGAATTAAAAAGTTTAAACTTGGTTCAGTTCACTATTCAAATGTCTCTATCTCTGTGGACCACCTCCGTGGTGTAGTGGTTTGAGTGTCTGCCTGGGGAGCAGAAGGTCGCAGGTTCGATCCCCAGCCTTGTCATACCAAAAAGATGTTAAAATATGGTACTTGTTGGTCCCTGCCTGGCGCTCGGCATTAATGGGTACAACAAGGACTGGTCGGCTCGGAGTCAGTATAATGTGTCTGAGTGGGGTATTCATGCTTCACTGCGGCATGGTATCTCAGTGAGCTAGCACTATAAAACCAGCTTTAGTTTGGACTAGTACAAGCAGTTGCACATACACATACACACGCATGCACGTCGTCATATGAGCGAAATATTCTTAAGCACTATGTTAAACCCCATTTCACCTCACCTCTCCTCTATCTCTGTGTGATTTCAGATCACATATGGAGGTCGTGTGACAGATTTCTTGGATCAGCGATGTCTGCGAACAATCCTGCAGATGTTCTTCCGACCAGAAAGCATTCAACCGGACTACAAGTATTCAGAATCAGGTGAGTTCCACATGATAGTCCAGTGTACAGTTTAACTTGGCAAGGCTTGCTAAGTTATCTCTTTGGGTGTCTGCTTCATATTAGTGAAACCTGTGAAGCTCCGGCTTAGAATTGATCTTCCGTAACCCATGCTTGTCGTAAGAGGCAACTAACGGGATCGGGTGGTCAGGCTCGCTGACGTGGTTGACACATGTCAAATCCAAATTGGTTGACACATGCCAAATTGTGTAGATCAATGTTCATGCTGTTGATCACTGGATTGTCTGGTCCAAACTCGATTATTTACGGACCCCCTCCATGTAACTGGAATATTGCTGAGTGCAGCGTCAAACTAAACTCACTCACTCATTCATGTAAGTGAACAAAGTTGCTTTGCCACGATTTTCTCAGCACCTGTCATATGTTTGAGTGAAATATTATGGTGTGAATACACTGCTTGAGCAGATACAGCATCATACTTTGTTTCAAGACTGTTGTGGAAGCTGAGGTGGCTGAGTGGGCTAGACGGCTGACTTTGTGTGCTGGCGATTAGGTGCCTGACTCTGAGGGTGTGGGTTCGAATCCCGGATGGGACTCAACCCAACAAAAGTACTAGAATCTGTACTTCACTGAGAAAGTGTAAACCCAAATATAACATATGTTACATTTGACCACTTTCTAAATGGCATTGTGTATTCAAGACTGTTGTTGGTGATTTTGTATACAGCTAGACAATCAGATCAAAACACTGCCACTCGTGACTTTATGCAATCTATTTGATAACACAAAAGGGTTTGTCTTATGTTTGTCATATGGTTATGTGGAGGTAACTATACTGCATTTTGAATGTAGGGCTAGTTTCCTGTGGATTTAATTGTGATTATTTAACATTTAAAACCTTTTGTTGTGTGCTTCATTCCAAATGAATTTAGCATGCAGGTAACCTAACTCTATGTTTACAAACACAGTCTATATATTGCCTAAATATGTTACCAGGAATCTACTACGCTCCAAGCTACGAGACTCTGGAGGAGTACCGGCAGTACATCGAGGGGCTGCCTCTGATTGATGAACCCGAGATATTTGGGATGCACGAGAACGCCAACATCGCGTTCCAGACTCAGGAGACACAGACGCTCATCACCACCATCTTGGACGTCCAGCCCAGGATGTCATCAGGAGGAAGTGGCAAGTCCAATGACGATATCGTGTACGAGTTGGCAGAAAACATTCTGGGCAAACTAATGGACAAGCTGGACATTGAGAAGGCCAACCAGGAGATGTTTGAGGTGAGAGGACTTGTCTTATTGACCTGGGCCCCCTTTCACAAAGCACTAAGGTGATCGTAAGTCACTAAGCTAACCTTAGTGCATTGTTAAAGAAAGGGAGTTATAAGGTTAACCTTTGTAAAGGTTAACCTTTGTAAAGGTTACTTCGTGAAAGGAGCCCAGCCTGAGAATGCATCACCAGCCCCCTGCTGCTTGTTGTAAGCAGTAACCAAGGATAAAGTGTATTGGTTGGCCAGTGACTTGTGTGATTGCGGTCATCATAACCTGATGTATGTCCGAATGTTGCAGTATATCTCTGTTATCTCACTGGCTGTTAAACTATAGTTTGGCATGAAATGCATGTGGACCCGGTTTTTTGTAAATATCTCTTCATCCAATGACCCAATCGATCTCAAACTGTGCAAGTGGATGTTTTGTCAGACAACCTAATCACTTTGTAAATCACCGATTTTATGCATTTGTATTAAAGAATCTGTCTATGTAACTGTCAACAAAATAAACAGCAGAACGCAAACTGCTTGCAGAGGGAGGGAGCCAATGACCTGTAACAGCGGCAGTGTTGGGTCATAAAGGTCATTGGATGAAGAGATATCTACAAAAAAACGGGTCCACATGCATTTCATGCCAAACTATAAGGGAGATACGATCATCTTAGCACTGTGATGAAGGGGGACTCCACATTCAAATATAACAACAGCAAATAAAGAAGGACTCCTTGAATCTGAGACCCCTGCAGCACCTCTCCTTGCTTTTACTACTTCTGTTATCGCATGTTTTGCTTCATGCAGAAATTCTGTCAAAGGGGAAAATTATTGAAGGGTAAAATGTCCTAGTTTTAACTAAATGGTAATTCGGGAAGCAAGGTATCAAAACAATCTCCTCTGAAAATATGCCATGTTTCTCCTTGGGGTCCTGTTTGCAGTTTGTTTGTTTAACTTTGTGAGACACACTAGTCCAGTTATACAATGGTGGCCTGTAAATGGGGACATGGTGGGTGAGCGATCTAAGGCACCAGGCTAGTGATCCAGCGACCTTGAGGTGTCAGGATCGAGCCCACCTGTGACTGGGTGTAAACAACTTGGAGTCAACTTTGTGTGCAGACTCTTTCAGTGTTGTCACAACCCCTAGTGTACAGTACACAACCATGTGCCCTTAAAAGAACCCACGAATCCGTTGGTAGATGACCAGATGGTGACCACATGAATACGTGCAAATACCTAGTTGCGGGTACAGCAACGTGCAGTAAACTTGGACAAAGCTCTGTGACTATGTGTCCCAGTCCACACAGCTGTGAATGGGTACCTCGTAAGGATGGGAAAGCCACATTAACTTGGTGCGCTTAAATGGCTGCAAGAGTTGTATGATCCCCAGGGAGTTGAGATTGATAATATGATGTGCTGTTAAGATTGACATCCAATGATGGAGGGAAAAACAAAGCAATTTGAGCAGCTGAGCTGAGCTGGATATTGCCCCTAAATATCATGTAATAATTGCAGGATGTGTTTCGATGTTGTATGTATGAGCTGGCTGTGACCATATGATGTGTTTCAGCCAGATGACAAGGGGGCGGATGAACTCACTGACAACAGTGCTGGAGCAGGAGGTGGACAGATTCAACAAACTGTTGCGGGTTATCAAGGTACTGTCCACTTGTGGTCACCAGTCAGGCTATTTGTCCTGGTAGAAGTAGTCAGTGCTTCACACACTATTGCTCTCCCTACACTGAAGGGGCAGTTGCAACAGTATACAGTTGGCATATCAAGAGTCTTCATCTTCCTTCAGTAGAGACCGCCTCCGTGGTGTAGTGGTTAGAGCGTCCACCTGGAGAGCGGAAGGTCGTGGATTCGAACCCTGGCCGCGTCATACCAAAAGACATTTAAAGGCGATGGGGTAGCCTAGAGGTTAAAGCGTTAGCTTGTCACACCGAAGACCTGGATCGATTCCCTACATGGGTACAATGTGTGAAGCCCATTTCTGGTGTCCCCCACCGTGATATTGCTGGAATATTGCTAAAAGTGGCGTAAAACTATACTCACTCCTTCAGTAGATTTCCTTGACATGATGATAAAAATTGGAAACTTGCTGAGTGCAGCATTAAACAACAAACAAACACAAACATAAATCTACTTGTACACATGTGCATACACTTCTGTATGTAAGCGCAACAACATTGAGTGTGACATTAGCCTTATACCTCCCCTGTCTGCTATAGAACTCCCTGAAGCAGCTACAGAAGGCCATCAAGGGCTTTGTCGTGATGAGTGAGGAGCTGGAGATGGTGTACAACTCCTTCCTCAACAACCAGGTGCCCCAACTGTGGGCCAACGCTGCCTACCCCTCCCTCAAGCCCCTAGCCAGCTGGGTGGCTGATCTCGTCCTACGCTGTGCCTTTATCGACAACTGGATTGTGCATGGAATCCCCAAGTCCTACTGGCTGGCCGGGTTCTACTTCCCTCAAGGTAATGCTCCACAGCTGGATATTAAGTACTTGTTTCTTTTAAAACATTATTAATTATTTGGGCCTTTTGTTTTAGTTTTGTTTGAATTACTATCTTGTTTTGATAGTAGCAGTTGTATTCTAAATTAAGTGTACAAATTGATACAAATCAGAGCAAAGGAATACAATGGCAGTACCAAATAGAATGGCAGTAGAAATGCAATGGCAATGTTATGAAATCTGAGCCGTAAATCCAAATGTGTGTTCTTTACATCACCATGGTGTTGCAGGCTTCTTGACGGCACGCCGCTACAGAACTACGCCCGCAAGTACGACTACCCCATCGACCACCTCAGCTTCAGCTACAAGGTGCTGCCTCACTACCGCCATCAGAGGGATGTCTACAAGCAAATGCAGGAACTCAAGTTTGGGGAGGAGATGGAAATGGACCAAGAGGTGAGAGGTCACGAAGGTCACGGTCATAGAGGTCATTGTGCCAAAGAATGTGTGAATATGTATTTTTTCCTTGTCTTTGAAACTTTGGGATTGACGGGTTTTGTGTAAGCAAAAGTTCTAAGTCTATCTAAACTGCTAAAGTACGATATGAGATCCTTTGACATTATATTCACTAACATTCTGAAATTATGGTTTCATCTCATAGACATTTCTTTATGAAATCATTTATTGAGACTTCCATAGACAAGCACCCGCGGAAGGTCACTAGTAGAATGAACCTCCCAGGCTCGCTGACTTGGTTGACACATGTCATCGATGCTCATGCTGTTGATCCCAATTGGGTAGATCAATGCTCATGCTGTTGATCACTGGATTTTCTGGTCCAGACTCGATTATTTACAAACCGTCACCACATAGCTGGAAATTGCTGAGTGCGGCTCAAAACTAAACTCATTCATGTATCCGTCCACTCATAATCATGTATGAACGGTACTGCCAGTTTTCACTTGAACAATCCCAGCTTCTTGGCTTCTGCCTCATACACTAATAATCTCCACATGTTGACCACAAACACTTCTGCTTCTTAATCCACATTTTGGCCACCTGCTGTAAAGTAAACAAAGAAGATAAAGCATGGCCTCAGTTTCACATTCAGTCTGACAACATGGTTACAGAGGTAGGCCAAGCATTGTAAGGTTTGGTGCAACAGGATAATAGTGTATAATTTCCTGATCAGCTCGAGAAGCCCGAGGATGGTGTGTTGGTGCATGGGCTGTTCATGGACGGCTTCAAGTGGAACGATGACACCATGCGTGTGGAAGACTCCATCAAAGGGGAGATGAACGGTGTGATGCCCATGTTGCACATGCAGCCCAAGATGGACTATGTCGCTGACGATAAGGACTACCAAGCACCTCTGTACAAGACAGCGGCCAGGGCGGGAGTCCTCTCTACTACAGGTTTGTTTGTGGTCAGGCTCGCTTGGTTGACACATGTCATCGTATCCCAGTTGCTTAGATCGATGCTCATGCTGTTGATCACTGGATTGTTTGGGCCAGACTTGATTATTTACAGACCGCTGCCATATAGCTGGAATATTGCTGAGTGCAGCGTAAACTAAACTCACCCACTCTCTTAAGCTATTAACGAAACCAGTGTAGGCTACAACTGCTTTGCCAGGCCAAAGGCCTTCTGGGGCTGCTTCTAGCTGGACTGAAGTGATAGAATTGTAGCAATACTTGCTGGTGTATGTTCTCATTTTCTTATTCAATATGGACTGAAGGGAATTGAAGAAGTTGTTGGGATTGCTGGTATTTTATCAGACATGTTACATGTACATGTTATCCATTTGATGATTTTATAGGCATTTTCTAATGTATATACTTTGGTATGTAAAGTAACAGTTTCTCATTCAGACTTTGGCATTTCAAATATGAGACTTTCATGGGAATCTGGCATTAGAATTGTCCCTAGCAAACTATGCTTGTCTTCTGAGGAAACTTAGCAGATGAGTTGGTACTGATTGTCAACTATGTTGATTGTGTGTAACAGAAGCTAAAGAAGCAGACTGTTGCTCTTACTATCAATCACCTGTTTGTCTAGTCCAAACCAAATATATACAGGCTGTCACCATTTAACCTAATTATTGTTGAATGCAGTCACAACCAATACACAAGAAACTTATGTCATAGACTATAATCAATAAATAATCAAAAAATGACTATGTTTTGTTTGTTTTCAGGCATGTCCACCAACTACGTGGTAGCCATCTATTTGCCATCGTCACAACCTCAGGACTACTGGATCGCCAAGGAGCTGCTCTCTTGTGTCAGCTCAGTGACTAACATGCGTTACTTGGAAATGTTAACTAATATTGTCTATCTGTTGAGTTTGTTTACCTGTTTGTTGTTTACAGAGTTATATGCCCCTGCTGTTCACTAAATTTGAGTTGTCTTCCCTTGTACAAGTATTTTGCGTGATATATTTATATCTGTGGAGCAACATCTATATGCATTATTTATATTTTATCTGTCGAAATTATGAAGTCAAGATATGTGAATAGTTTGTGACAACTGCTGATTTGAGTGTACCCTATATTTATTTACGGAACAAACTGTTCTTCTGTAGTGAAGTGATATATGAAGTCTGAACATGTGGAAAGTTTGTTTTCAGTTACAAAGATATTCCTGTTGATTAAATATTATGTAAAATATTTTCTGTGACGAACCATATCTATGAATGGGTGTGTCTGAAATATGAAACAGAAAAATAAGAACCATAAATAGCTTTGTGTATAAAATTCTATATACAGTACTTCCTGCTGTGAACCCTTCTTCAGGTGTCCCCCGTCATGATATTGCTGGAATATTGCTAAAAGCAGAGTAAGGCAAAACTCACTCACTTATGAACCCTTCTGTAAGTGCTGTTGTACTGTGTGATATGTACATGTATTTTTAACCAATGTCAACCTCTGTGATATGTCTTGTCAGTGAAATACACTCCGTCCATGCTGAAATGTACATTTGTAAATATATTTGTCATGATTGTATACAGCTATTCACAGTATTACATTGTCGATGTGTCTGAAGTATTCCTACGTAACCGATTGGGCAAATTATGTAACTTGTATGCATGAACTATGAAATGCGTTCAATGCAGATATGCAAAACTGCTGCAGGTTTCAAAAGCATGTTCCACAACATTGCAAATGTGCAGAAACCTTATATATTATTTAAACCTACATTTGATTTCTTACGACTTATATAAATGTGATAGAAGTACTATCACTATTGTATGATCTTTGCAGCATTAGTTTCTTCAGCGTTTTGGGGCGGTAGGGTAGTCTCATGGTTAAAGCATTCGCTCGTCACGCCAAAGACCTGGGTTTGATTTAACACATGTGTGAAGCCCATTTCTGGTGTCCCCGCCATGATATTGCTAGAATATTGCTAAAAGCAGCGTAAAACCAAACACACTCACTCACTTATGGTTAAAGCATTCACTCGTCAGCCAAAGACCTGGGTTTGATTTAACACATGTGTGAAGCCCATTTCTGGTGTCCCCGCTATGATATTGCTAGAATATTGCTAAAAGCAGCGTAAAACCAAACACACTCACTCACTTATGGTTAAAGTATTCGCTCGTCAGCCAAAGACCTGGGTTTGATTTAACACATGTGTGAAGCCCATTTCTGGTGTCCCCGCCATGATATTGCTAGAATATTGCTAAAAGCAGCGTAAAACCAAACACACTCACTCACTTATGGTTAAAGTATTCGCTCGTCACGCCAAGACCTGGGATCGGTTTCGCATATGTGTGAAGCCCATTTCTGGTGTCCCCCATTATGATATTCCAGGAATATTGCTAAAAGCATCATAAAACCATACTTGCTAACTCACTTTCTAGCATTTTACAGTTGGACTCTGTGTTATAAGCAGGGAAGCTAGAAATAGGACATGGTTGCCTTTATTTTGGTTACAATAGGAGCAGGAAGGTACAATGTAGTGTTATCTGTCAGAGATAGGGTGTAGAAAACTCCCGAGTTCTCCATGTTGGGAGAGTGTTGTCTGTAGTCCATACACTGACTGCTGTCCTGTGTGCTTCTATGTAACAGTCAACTTGCATTTTTTTCTTGTTGACAAAATCATGAAAGTCTGTGATAATGTTGTCGTTTTTGGTTATACTTGTACATAAGGTGCCTTTGAAAAATAAATGTATATAATATGAACATTTTTCTGTTGTACATATATTGTAAAAACATTTGAAATGGACAACAACTAACACTATCTTGTATTATTCCTGTGAACACCTTACCTCTATTATATCACAGCCATAAATTCCTGTTTGTGGCTATCAATCACACTATCATTTATTTAAAATATTTTCAATAGTCTTCTTACTCACTGCCAACGTGTTTCTGGGTTTATCTTTGAACAAATTGTCCATCTCAAATTTCTTCTGAAAGCAAACTGTTATTAATCCTTGTCTTATGACACATGTAGGTACCTGGGCCTAGATTTTCGAAACTCTCTTAGGGCTAAGATAGTCTTAGTTCTAAGAGAGCTTAAAAAATCTAGGCCCCGCAGTTCTTCATACCATATAAGTATTTTTGTATTCTGTCTGAATACAAGGGTGCGGTGGGCGAGCTGTCTAAGGCGCCAGGCTAGTAATCCAGCGAGCTTGGATCGAGCCCACCTGTGACCGGTTGTAAAAAACTTTGGAGTCAACTTTGTGTGCAGACTCTTTCAGTGTTGTCACAACCGCTAGTGTACAGTACACAACCCTGTGCACTTAAAAGAACCCACGAATCCATTGGTAGATGACCAGATGGTGACCACATGAATACGTGCAAACACCTAGTTACGGGTACAGCAACGTGCAGTGAACTTGGACAAAGTACTGTGACTATGTGTCCCAGTCCACCCAGCTGTGAATGGGTACCTCGCAAGGATGGGAAAGCCACATTAAGTCTGTGTGCTTAGTAGGCAGCAAGAGTTGTATGATCCCCAGGGAGTTGAGATTGAAAATACGATGTGCCGTTGTGATGGACATCCAATGATCCAGGGTTAACAAAGCGCCTTTGAGCAGTTGTACTGGATGTCGGCGCTGTACAAATGTTTGTTTGTATGTATGTATGTTAAAGCGTTCGCTCGTCACTCCAAAGACCCTGGTTTGATTCCCCACATGGGTACAATGTGTGAAGCCCATTTCTGGTGGCCCTATCATTATATTGCTGTAATATTGCTAAAAGTGGCCTAAAACTAAAGTCACTCACTCACTGAATACAAGGGCTACCTCATCACTCATCATCAGTGATGGAGTCACCAGCTTCACTCTCATGATTCTTCACAGTCTGGAAATCTGATACTCATCTGACTTGTGACACATGCATGTATCTGCCGTCTTTCATACCATACAAGTACATTCGAGCACCGTTGTGTCGAACTCTGATAACTCAATATCTCGGTTGTCTCGATCTGGGCAAAATCCTTCATAGTTTATCATTATTCAAGCTCTTTTAACTGGATACGGATGTCCCGATATTTCGGATATCTCGACATAATTTCATGGTCCCAACAAGCAAAATTACCATGTTAACTCGATATTTTCTAAGAAACTCGATATTCACCTACCTTTCATGGACAAGTACACCTCTGAACTCAGGATGTTTCCACACGTTTACACACAGCGTGACATGAATCAAAGGGATGCGGAAGTGTAAACTAATTAGGGCTAATTGAGTTGAAGGTTGTTATTTAATTAGGATGAGGGGTCGTTGTCGGCACAGGTACTACAGATACGTACCCCAGTACGTTTCTGTATACAGATATGTACCCTAAACAAAGTCATAGGACAGAAACGTACCCGGTACCCTAAAAGGCGGACGAGTCCATATTCCGCAATCCAAAACCGAAACCGTATGTAGTTGTTCCCGTTCAACTGATTCCGAGTGGTATTCATGTGCATCGCGAAATATCCGTATCTGTGTATTCTCATTACTTACATAACGCAATCAAAGCGGTCAGGTTAGGACGTGTGGGCCGACGCGTGTTGACGTCATGCCCGCTAGATCTAGGCCCCACAGAGGTTGCATCTGGGTGCCACAGGGACATATATGTCCTTCTCCTTCACCCCTCAATTTGAAGTCCAATAAAAATCAAAATATCCCACGCACACAAATACACTTCACAGTTTCGAATTCTGTGGGAAATTTCCTGTTTCTTGATACCATCCGCTATTATTTTAGACAAAGCTCAAGAGCTGAAAATGACCTTTCAAAACAGGCTTCATTGAAAATGTCGCCATTTGTGACTCAGTACGAAATCGCGATGCACAGCGTTAATTGCTGTATGTTTCGAAATGTGAAAGTCGGATAATTACTGGGAGTATTGAATTTCAAAAATAACATATTCATGATCAGTGATATCAGTTTTACATGAAATGGCTAATGATAATTCTGAAACATTGCCAATGAATCTAGAATCGGTAGGGAAGTTATCGAAAATACACTTACACGAACGCCGTAGAGCGCTTTCCGCCATATATTGGATAGTGTTTACAAATTCACGCTTCTCGAAGGCCGGTATTGAGACGCCTATAACAACACGTATATTTCATATTCAGCTTCGAAAAATGCATCACTGAATTCCCCATACATTTTAGAATCAAACTGCAACTGGTCTGTGTCACCAATACCAACTGTCTGGATAGAATGAGACGAAACATATTGGGTGTGAAAACGAACGCTGTGCTCGAAAGACTGCGCTTGTTTGAAATGTAAACAAAGACAAATTCCGATTTTACCCTGCTTAGCATTTTCTGAAATTTTCCAACATTCATCCGTCTATTCATCGCTTGCAATGGCTCAATACCTTTGGAATATGCATGGAAAGAGTATCGTAGCAAGAAATAGGAAATTATAAATAGATACAATGCAATGATTTGATAATTCATAAGAAATTGTCAAAGTTTCCGTGCAGCGTGACGCCATGACTGACGCAAAATCATGCAGAACGACAACGGTAATTATCTGCATTTCTGGCTTCTTCTCTTACTTATAATGAAAACGATAAAAACATATAACAATACACAGATAGTCAGAATCATTCTGATTACTTACATCTCATATTTATGTATAAACTATCCCTGAATCAATGGAAGGGTCCTCTCAAAATCCTGTGTGCCCTTGTCAGCAAAGCCGCCATTTTGTAAGAAATCGGTCGGCGGTAGTGATGTCATACGTCAACATTGTTGTACATATTAGGCAATTTCTTTGAGGTGAAGGTCGGTTGAACACGAGTAAACACAATCGCCGTATCCTTCCGATTACAGTCAGTATTATGATGTATATTTTGCGGATAGTTCAGATACTTTTTCATGAAACTGACTTCAGGATCTACATTCAGCCTTGTTCAATATCATATCATACGTGCATATAGGGTTTTTGATTGTTTGAATAATATTTGCATA